ACGCATCTTCTGCATCTCAAATCGGGTCTAACGGGACACTTGAAACGTATATAAAAAAGATAAGGACGATGACGAAGAAGATGATGATGATGAGCACCGTGATGATGATGCTGATTATGATGATGATGAACTGACATGATAATCATCATGACGCATCCTCAGCATCACCAGCAGTCATCATGATAATCATGTCCGCGCATCTTCTGCATCTCAAATTGGTTCTAACGGGACACTTGAAACGTATATAAAAAGGAGGATGAGGACGATGACGAAGAAGCTGATGATGATGAGCACCGTGATGATGATGATGATGATGATGATGAACTGACATGATAATCATCATGACGCATCCTCAGCATCACCAGCAGTCATCATGATAATCATGTCCACGCATCTTCTGCATCTCAAATCGGGTCTAACGGGACACTTGAAACGTATATAAAAAAAGATAAGGACGATGACGAATAAGATGATGATGATGAACACCAACTGACATGATAATCATCATGACGCATCCTCAGCATCACCAGCAGTCATCATGATAATCATGTCCGCGCATCTTCTGCATCTCAAATCGGGTCTAACGGGACACTTGAAACGTATATAAAAAGATTTAAGGACGATGACGAAGAAGATGATGATGATAAGCACCGTGATGATGCTGATGATGATGATGATGATGAACTGACATGGTAATCATGATGACGCAAAAGATAAGGACGATGACGAAGAAGATGATGATGATGATGAACACCAACTGACATGATAATCATCATGACGCATCCTCAGCATCACCAGCAGTCATCATGATAATCATGTCCGCGCATCTTCTGCATCTCAAATCGGGTCTAACGGGACAATTGAAACGTACATAAAAAAGATAAGGACGATGACGAAGAAGATGCTGATGATGATGATCATGACTCATCCTCAGCATCACCAGCAGTCATCATGATAATCAATCATGTCCACTCATCTTCTGCATCTCCAATCGGGTCTAACGGGACACTTGAAACGTATATAAAAAAGATAAGGATGATGACGAAGAAGATGATGATGATGAGCACCGTGATGATGATGCTGATGATTATGATGATGAACTGACATGATAATCATCATGACGCATCCTCAGCATCACCAGCAGTCATCATGATAATCGTGTCCGCGCATCTTCTGCATCTCAAATCGGGTCTAACGGGACAATTGAAACGTATATAAAAAAAGATAAGGACGATGACGAAGAAGATGATGATGATAAGCACCGTGATGATGCTGATGATGATGATGATGAATTGACATGATAATCATCATGACTCATCCTCAGCATCACCAGCAGTCATCATGATAATCATGTCCACGCATCTTCTGCATCTCCAATCGGGTCTAACGGGACACTTGAAACGTATATAAAAAAAGATAAGGATGATGACGAAGAAGATGATGATGATGAGCACCGTGATGATGATGCTGATGATGTCCGCGCATCTTCTGCATCTCGAATCGGGTCTAACGGGACACTTGAAACGTATATAAAAAAAAGATAAGGACGATGACGAAGAAGCTGATGATGATGAGCACCGTGATGGTGATGATGATGATGATGATGATGATGGTGAACTGACATGATAATCATCATGACGCATCCTCAGCATCACCAGCAGTCATCATGATAATCAAGATAAGGACAGCGGCGAGGACCACCACGCCGATGATGATGATGATGATGATGATGATGATGATGTTGAATCTTCGGTTATGCTCATTTACCAGCCAGGCTTGGACTTGCAACCGCCCTTCCCGTACGCCTCCCCCTTTGAGGAGAAGGGGTCGGCGGATTTTAACTTGCATCCTGGTTGGATACAGGCAACAAGCGGTTCTACCTGGCATTGAAATCGCTACGCGATCCGCCGACGCCAGGCTACGTGATCCGCCGACGCCAGTGGACAGTCCCCTATGAATATACTGGGGCTGATCAATCTGGAGTCAGCACTGGCTCAAGGGACAATTGCCAGACCAGCGCTGCACAAAGTCAGCTCGCTGGCTCTTAACGCGTGGAAGGAGAACACAAGCAGCACCCTTCTGACGTCGGCTGCAGGGTGCCTCGAATTTGGGGCAGGGAAAAAGACGTCTTTTTGCCTAGGTCATGTGGGGCTCTTCACAAGTGAGAAGAGGCCAAACGACGCCCCTCTGACGTCGGCTGCAGGGCACCTCAAGTTTGGGGGCAGGAAAAAGACGTTTTCTTGCCTAGGTCACACGGGTCTCTTACCGCCTGGAAGGAGAACAAGCAACGCCCCTCTGATGTCGGCTGCAAAGTACTTTGAATTTGTGGTACACGGGAGTCTTAACGCGTGGAAGGAGAACAAACAACGCCGCTCTGAGGTGCCTTGAAGGAAAGGGTGCGTCGAATTTGGGGTCAGGAAAAAATGTTTTTTTGCCTCGGTGACAGTCGGGGCTCTTAACGAGAAGGCAAACAACGCCGCTCTGACTTCGGCCGCAGGGCTGAACACGTGACAGGAGAAGAACACTAGGGTCTACTCTTTAAACCACCCCCCGAAAGGGTATAAAAGCAAGACCCCAATGTTTTTGTAAGTGCAACAAGGCTTGGCACTTTCCTGTTTTTCATGTCCAAGATGCTGAGGATCCTGGAAATGCAAGAGATGCAACCACGCAACTTACAGGACAGACCCAATCTTCGCGCTCAAGATTTTAAGACTTTCAGACACGCAACATTGACCAAACACAGAAAATACCAGAGATGTGGGGAATGCTGGGAATGCAGCCGGCTAGCCACAAAAAAGTGCAAACACCCGGGGTTTTTCGAAAACCGATACTAGCAACCCCCCTCAAATACCCGAAAAATTGACTTCCAAAAGCATGATAATGCAGGGGATGTTGCGCAGTAACTGCTCCGTACAGGTGGGGAATTGCAAAAAACACTCTTTTTTGCAAATTTCAACAAAGTATCACTGCACTTGGCCCCACCCAAACCCCTAACAGGCCAATTCCAACATCGCTTGAAACAGCAAAATATCTGCAACAAAAAGAGACAAATTCATGGAAACAAGATAATCCTCATGATGCTGGGGATGCAGATCCTGCGCGTCCGGGGCAACCCCCCCCCCCCCCAAAGACCCAGGCGAAACGCATTTTTGTTGCACGAAAGACCCAAAAACACTGGACAAATACAGGGTTTTGGACACCTAGCACAGCATGCCAAAAAAAACAGTCCCAAAAGCTTTCGGCTTTGATAAGAGATTCCGAAGGAAGACCAAGTTGCGGACTGCCATCTACACGCTCGACTGGCGTCGGCGGATTTTTTTGAATCAGGGGTCATGAATGTATGATTTGTGTTTGCCACCTTGGCTGATGGCATTTGAGGATTCCATGTGCAACATCACCGCTCCCTGCTTGTGTTGTGCTCAGATCTAGGAAAGAAGCATATGCGACAGCATGAGCGAACGCAGTACATTGCATCGCATCAACAAGCCTTTGACCTTGCCACCTTTGGCAGGCAACTCAAACTTGCTGGCAGTGCCAGAGACGAACGCACTATCGGCAAGTCCTGGCCATCAACAGGCCAGTTGACACAGCGATGGCTTTTTGCTTCACCTAGATGCACCGAGTAGACATGGCTGTGCCAATGCAGGTAGCCGCAATTACAAGTCCGAGATGCTCCACAAAGCCAATCTTTTCTCCTCCACAGTCGACACAGGCAAGCTGGCACGCGCGGAGTGGACACTTCTCAAGGATTCACAATGCATGAGTTCTCGTGTTGCACCGAGCATGGACTCAGGCTCTATTCAGTCCATCAACATCTATGAATTTGGCCTCCACGGGCCTGTATTCGCAGGCACGAATCACTGAGAGTAATTGGGTGATCCCAGCCTTACAGCGTTACAATTCACGCAACTCAAGCAAATCAGAGCGGCATTGAGTAAGACAGTGAAATCACAAAACAGCCTTTTGCAAAGCCCAGTTGAGCCAATATATGCTTTTGTGTTTGAGTCTCCTCGCTCTTTTAATCCGAAACAGGTCACCGCGCTCACATTGTCCCCAATGCCATCAAGGTCCTTGTTCCGGTCACAAGCCGAGGCGCTCAGTCACGAGCCTTGATCTATCAAAGCATCCAGCTTCATATACATCCTAGCACTTCTTTGGGCTTTTCCCCGTGCTGGAATGCCAATTTCAGGGGCACGTCTTGGCACCAGATGGTTTGAATTCGAGAATGCGACGGCAAGGGTTCCTTGCAAACCTCATGATGCAGAGCTTGCAGGTCTCCAGTCCAAGCCAACTGAGCTCGCAGTTGTGGACACCATGGCCCAGCATTTCAGCTGATGAGGGAATGCAGGCAGACCTTGCGATCAATTCTCCAAATATTGGTCCAGCGTGCCTAAATCCCTGGGAATCCAAGCATGCCCATCAATATCACAAAAACAGACGTTTTGGTTTAGCTTTGACACACTTGCGACATTGGCATGCATTGGGCGTATGGATGCGCTGAACATGCCGTCCGCAAGTTCTGCATGGTTCCCTTCAGGCAAGCCCAGCGTTCCGGGCGCCGCGGGCATCACCGGCTCCGCCTGCACCACTGCCAGAGGCCCAAGCAGCCGAACTTTTTCATTCAATGTTTCATCGATCGTCATGTTGGGGATATGGGGTGGTCGCTCCAATTTGACAGCAATTTCTCTGGTCCACGGCTTATTTTGCTAGCTAGACTTGGAGATCAATTGCAGGTTGGTCTTCAAATGCCGCTTCCGGAGCCTGCAGGGGACCTGCTGATGCAGGTAGCCGCAGCGTTGCCTGAGACACATTGAAATGGGTGAAGAGAAAATAGAAATTCAGACATGCGTTCTTGTGGGCTGTTGCTGTAACATTACCAGCCATTGCGTCCGTCACCTCTGCTGTCTGCGGCAGGCTGAGTTCAACATGGAGCTACCGCAAGCACCCGGAAGGCTGACTGCAGGCGGACAAAAGCCAGTGACACACACGCAGACACACATTGTCCCAGTCCTGTACAAATTCCAGAACCTTTTTACTGCGCAGGCCTGGCAGACCCTGACACAGTTGAGAGATGCCGTGATCAGTATGCGCAAAAGCTGGATGGACAGCTGAGCGAAGCGACCAGGACCACTTGGCATGGCTTTGCATTTGGAATTGCCTTGCTTGGCTGTACGAAAACTTGAGACAAAGCAGTTTTTTGATCAGTGGTATGATATGTAGCAGTTGGCACAGTGCGAAGGAAGCTGGAGCAGGCCAACGCAGACAGGAAGGCGCAGCTGCGGCGGGAGTTCCATCGAAAGTGCCAACAGTATGCAGATGAGGCTTGGGGAGTCGCTATGTCAATCAAGCACGAGTCACGGAATTCGGTGAGTCTGTCCGCTTTAGGTCCACTCCTTCGCAGGTGGATAATCTTCTTCTCGAGCAAGCACGAGTTGTAGTGGAGGAGCATCATGATAGGCGGGTGTCATTGGCACTTTTGAGCTTGTGATCCCTTAGCTTCCAGGCTGATAGAACTGCAGCAGGAAGCCGAGCGTCAAAGGCAGCGCTTGGAATATGAGGCAGACTTTTTGATTACGTACTCTAAGTCACTGTGAGTTCATATTGCTGATGGTTGCAGTCGCGGGACTTGCTGCGGGAGTCGCGCCGGTATCACCAATTCAAGGCACGGAGAAAAAGGCAGCAACTGTCTGGCTTTCTGGCAAAGACGAGAGGAAGGCGTGGATTGTTCAGGCTGAAGCTAGACGTCTTCTTGGCTCCATGCTTCCATCTTCTGGCATCGAAGGCTGGGGCCTGAAAATGTGCTGCACCACCTGGAATTGACGTGACGAAATGTACAAATTGGGGCAGGACGCAGCACACTTCTGAGAGATCAAGACCCGCCAAGCCTTCTCCAATCTCTTCAGCCAATTCAACTGCCATGCCAACCCGATCTGCGAGAGCTTCTTGCGGTCAAGCTCTCAGTTGATATTCGAATCTCAGTGAGCCCATGGCGTGCCCAGGCCATGCGACCCGCACCGCCGCCACCCCCGCCCCCACCACGTTGCATGGTGCCTCAAGGCACCAGCCCGCTTCAGAGCCCAGCGGTCCCCAGCCCAGCTATCCCCAGTGTGGCTTTGCCAACAATGGCTCTCAGCCCCGGTGTGCTGAGTCCGGCTCCCAGATCTCTGCCCAGCCCCTCCCATGATATCCCAGCGTTTGCGCTGTCAAGCCCGGTGTCCGCGCAGAGCGGTCAAGCCTCGCAATGCGCTCCCAGGCAGTGGCATTGGAGCAAGAGAGCCATGTGAAAACATCAAACTTCTTGAGACAACTTAATCTATTTCATCCTGACATGCTTATGGAAAGGCTCCCTTTAGTATCCGGCTTCCTACCCTTGACTTTGCATAGCTGAACGGCCTTTCTCGACCTTTTTTTTCTTTCTTTCTCTCTCTCTCTCTCAAACGCACAAGCGCAGGCTTGAATTGGTCAACCGCAGCATCCAGACCGTGGCAAGCCCAGGCCCGCTTGAAAAAGGTTTCTCTCATTGCCATGAATGACGTCAAGCAGCCATCCCCGCAGCTCGCTCGGCGGCAGCTTGCTCGGCGGCAGCTTGCTCGGGTTTTGAGAGGTGTTGGCCTCAGATTTCAAAAGGTCAAGATGGCCATGGCGGCCGATGCCAAATCTTGCAAGGTGGACGCCCCCGCAGACGCCGCAGCCACATCTGCCAATGTCCTGCTCGGCAGGGCCACGGCCGATGGCATCCCAGTCACCACTGGTTCTCCAGCGGCCTCCATCAAATGGCAATCGCCTCCCCCGCGGTATCAGTGAGCAACTTCCTCCCTTGCTCAGCCACACATCAGGAGACCGGACTCGCAGTGCAAGTTCTTGCGCATTGTTGGAGAATGTTGGACAATGTTGGACACTACAAATGATTTTGGCCAAGGCTTCAGCATGCTTATCATTCCATGGAGGAAGTTGAGCTGCTAGGAGACCGCTTGCTCGATGCACAGAGTCCAGGAAACCCGCGGCTTGCCAGAAGGGTGGAAGTGCAGTGCAGAACTTTGTTGCACACATGATGGTGGTGTTGATATTGGAGGGACGTAGCTAAGCGCATCGCTCCTGCGTAAGGACAAATGCTTATCCAGTGGAGCAGTTGACCACAATTTAAACTGTAGGTCTGTCAGGAGGGCCTAAAGCTGCTTGATGCCAAAGCATAGGCAGCTCCTTCTTGTGCAGTGGGCGTGCGGCATTCCACTGCTGAAAGACAAGCCACTTACAATGAATACTATATACATTGTCCCTGCAAGTGGCCTTTTCAGTGTGGGAGCTGTGGTTATGAATTGCAAGTGCCCGAAATCACAACGTGGCAACAATTGAAATCAGACACCAGAGCAAGGCTGAAAATCGGACTTGCTGTTTGAGAGTTTGCATTTCCGTGCGTCGAACACAAAGTGACCAGCCTGCGTGCAAAAGAGGCTCACTGCTATACAGAAGAAGTTGATTGTGCTCACTTGACATGGTGACAATTGCCAGTCGTCCAAACATACTAGACTCTTCAGTGGCCATCATGGAGTTTCAGTCATGAAGCATGAAATGTGGGATGACCCTGACGATTTCAGTGGTTCAACCAAGATAGTTTCACTTATGGCACGAACTGGCGCAACACCCTTCATACCATATAGTATTGCTTAAAAGTACGATCCATGCAAATGAGCATGTTATGAACAAATCTGCATCGCCAGGAGGACGGTCATTACTGATTCAGATCAAGCATGACATCCAAAACAACAATCATCAAGCAATGCATTTAGTGTATGTTTTTATTAGAATTGAAATTGATGATATGAGCTGGGTTATTGAAAGCTGTGTATATATGTATATATATATATATACAGTACACGCATCATTGTATAGCGTGTAGTGTTCAATACCTTGGTTGTCACTTCGAATGATCATATTGGTTGCATTATAAGTTTGCCGGAAACATATGTTGATGATACTTATGATTATAATTATGCTTATTATGTATAATATATATATACAGTCTAGTATTCCTTAATGTGTGTACATATTCATTTGCAACATATAATATGACTTCGATACGATCGCATGTATAAACACAATCGTTTGATGAGTATACTTTTGCTGACACGGTTGTTTCTGTTGCTTTATATCTAAGTAGACATACAATACGTATATAGCTAGTATAGAAAAGATGACTTTATATAATCATATCATACTTGTACACATGTGGTTGCATCACAATGTATGCCGTGTTCATGTACAATTGCATGATGGCATTGTGTTTTTTTTCCTCAAGCAACATCCCTTGTTATTTGAGGTTTGTTGTTTTGCTACCATGGTTTTGTGGAGTACAGTAATATTGTGTCCTTAGAATTTAGTCAATCACTTTTCGAGCGCTCATTCGCTTTATGTGGTAACTTTGAACGAGTGGTTTCGAGCTTTGTTTAAGACTTGGCGATCTTCTATTTTCTTTTCAAACGATAGATTGTTTGGATTTGTTTGGCAAATATACTCTGCCTGTTTCTTCTTCATGATTATTTTCGGTCTATGTTTGATTAGTATGGAGTAGTGCTACTTAGTGTGGTTTAATGTGGGTTAATGAGAAACGCGTATTCATGCAGATTGGGACGGAATGGTGCGGAGCAATGTGGATTGGCATGGGCTTAATATTCAGTGTGGGGTTAATGCGGATTGCTGCGGACTTTTATAGTTCAATATGGAATGTCATCATATGATGTGTGGTTTTAAGCTGGGTTCGGATGGAATAATTCAGATTAATGTGGACCATTTTAGAGTTGTGTGATTTTCTGTGGTTTAGTGCGGATTAGTATGGATTAAGATGTGGGTGTGGGTCAAAATTAAGCCACCAGGGGACCGCAGGTTTTAAGTCTTTGGTTCCAACGCACGTCACAGCCGGGCCCTTTGCAATGGCAGCCTGTTGCGCGCGGGAGCCACTCAATTTGCTCCGAAGCGGTCAGCGATCTGTGCCGAGGCCTGCGATAGGAATGCCATCCCTAAGTCCACGAGAGGCAGCAATCACGTGAAGCTTATTCCTCTCTGTCTGTTTTAGAAAATATGTGATGTATCAATTGCCAAATATATCAAATTTATCAATGCTCATACATGTCATCGAATGAAGAATCATCATATCAATTACACCAGCAAGGCCGATATTGCACACCAGCACCTCTAACAGCACCCCGCCCCGAAGAGCGCAGCAAACAGCTCTCGCCAGCGCTCCTCCAACAGCACCCCAAACAGCGTCCCGAAACAGCAACTGCACCAGCACCCCAAACTGCATTGCCCCCCAACATCTTGTTGTCTTGCAAAACCGCCAGCACCCCAAAACAGCACCTGAACCAGCACCCCACACTGCGTGCCCCCTAGCACCCCGCCGTCAATCTTGATAAAGGGTGCTGGCGCCCGTCACCCCAAAACCACCCGCGCCAGCACCCCAAACTGCATGCCCCGTAGCAGTCTGCCATCAACCGCCAAAGTGAGCCCGCACCAGATTTACCAGGGTTCGATTTTGGGTACCTATTCTTGACCCACAGCCATGTATGAATATAGATTTCTGTGAGTTGGACTGTGGCCTGATGTGGTTAATGTGGTGTGGATATATATATATATATGGTTCAGTATGAATAAGTGTGATTTAGTACATACATGTTAGTTTGATTAAGTATGAAGTTGTATAAATTAGTATGACGTGGTGTGGTTGGTGTGAATTAGTATGGAATAATATAGATTTAATATGGATTGGTGTGAATCAGTCGGGATTAATGTGCATTAGTGTGGAGTAGTGATATGGAGTAATATTGTAGCATTGATTTGGATCAATATTGACTTGATATGAACAACTTGGATTGATGTGGTTTGGTGTGAAATATTAGATTAACATGGGTTAGTGTGGTTTGTGTTTTGTGTGGTTTCATATGGCGGGTGAAAATAGTCCAATATGACATGTGTTTTGTTGTTTTTGTTTTGTAATATATATATATATATATTGAATTGCAATTGTGTTTTTATTCCCTAGATAGCTGAAAGCTATAAGGGTTAACTTCTAATAAAGAGGGGAAAGGGATTTGCGAGATTGACGGCTGGGTGCTAGGGGGCATGCAGTTCGGGTGCCGGTGCAAATGCTGTTCGGGTGTGTTGTTTGGGGAGCTGTGTGTGGTGCTGGTGACGGTGCGGGGGCATTTTTGCAAGACAGACGACCGGGTGCTCTGGGAGTGCTGTTTGCGGGTGCTGTTCGGAAAGCCGGGGATGTCAAGCTGCCTGTCCATCTCGAGTAGGGCCGGGGAAGACGGAAGGGGCCTCCAACAGAGGGGGGAGGTGGAAGTCAGACTGCGTTGCACCACAACTCCTGAGAGCGGGGGTGGAGATTGGTTCGTAACACTTCTTCCTTCTGAAAGCAGCCAACGCAGCCTTCGAAGGATGACGGCAATTTCGCCTTCTCGACAGGTTCAAGCTTCTGTTCTGTGGATGGCCCGCTGATATGTCGGCCAGCAGAAGTGACCATAGTCGGCAATTGGACATACTCAGCATATTCTTCATTTGACGTCGCTGGTCCTTCCGGAAAATTTAGATTTGCTCCCATGTTGAAAGTCTAAATCGGTCGTCTCTTTGTGTTCCTAGACCCACTGGCGGAGCGGACCAAGTCCAGTCTGAAAGTGTAAAGGCGGTGCCTGGACGCAATCTAACGATATTTGTCGGAAATCGCATGCTGCCTTGCAGCTCCGTTCTTAGGCTGTGAATACCATTGGACTTCCATGGTGAGCTTCACCTCCCTTGAATCAAGATTTATAGGTCACTCTGCCGCATGGCCAGGATCAACATAAGTTGACAAGATGCTAAACGGATGACACGCAAAAGCAATCCATGCTAATCTTACAGTTGTGTGCACAACAAACATGCCCACGTCAGCATTTGACGCCAGACATGCACCGGTTTTGCGTCACCGGTTTGAGCCGACCTTCTGCTTCTGACATGCCGTGTGGCATAAAACTGCATACATGTGAAGAACTCTTGACGGCTGCCTTCATCTTGCCATTGCTGTCTTGATGTTCAAGCTTGGTTAGAACATGCATGCGAACCCACATTTCCGGATCACACCGCGCATTTCTTCCCATTTGCGTGAACATGCGGTTTGATTTCTCGCGGTGGCCTATCGTTGCAGGGTGATTGACAACAGCACAGCAGGCTATCAGAGTCCCTTGCACAGCGTCGGCCCTTCCATGTGATGGACCAGCTCAGTCTGAGCTGACTGATGTTGGAGCCCTTTTTCATGTGCCGGCACTCGAGTTGATTGGTGCTACTGAAGGCCCATCGATCAACAAAGAGTACGGACAGTCTCTGAACGAAATGATAAGGCCATTGGGATGTGCAAGTATGAGTGCGTGTTTGGCAATGGTCACTGAGCGTTGTGCTTTGGAAGACTTCGCTGTTGCATGACGTTGGCAGTTGAGCATGGCTGCATCAGTTTAGCGACGTTGATGATTGCCGCAGGTCACTGAGGACATACGTGTCACCAGCCAGAAGTTGGAGAAGCTGGACCCGCGGTGCCGGGCTTAGTCAGGAAGAAGAAGCATGTTCTTGGGTGATGATGCCACTGCAAGATGCCAAAAAGATGTTCAGGAGCGTGGCAAAGACTGCACAAGAAGCTAAAGCCGGAACCCAGGTGTGTTGTTTGCATTGTGTGGATTGCAATTGTGCCACTCAGCCTCTTGAAACATGCTGCAGCTGTTTGACTCCTTAGCTGACGATAGCTCCGGATCATTTGTTTTGAGCCTCATGAACCTGTGCATTGGCGTGCAAAAATGTTCAACGCCAGGCGTACATTGTTCTGATTGGAGATGACAACACGCTAGTGTCATGCTCTGCTGGGAGATATGCAAGTGTCATTTGATGAAAGAATGTCAGGTCAAGGCAAGCATACGCCAGACATTGGCGTTGTGTTTGGCATTTCTTCTATTGCTTTGGCAATTGTGCCCAGCTCTGGAGTCGCTTGGAAAGCTGGACACTTGGCATCCCAGAGGCCCAGGCCATCCAAATGCTCACTCTCGGAGCTGCTGGAGGATGGGTACTAGTTTCTACATCGAGGTATGCGACTCGGAGAGTCAGATTGTCAAGTTATTCTCTTCGACTGGCAAACTTCTTCTATCCTCACCATCTGATGGTCTGTGGTCAGCTGGAAGTAACTTGTCAACAGGTTGGCCTTTGGTTTGGCACCACGGTAATCCACAGAAGGTGGAGATAAAAGGTGACAAGTTGCTAGCGGAGGGCGCCATCCCAACGCCTGCTGGGATTTGGCTTGTAAATGAGGAGTGGCATGTAGACAATACCAGCGTGATTGGCCGACGAAGATGGACGTGGAATGGGAAGTTGCCTTCCCCTTTAACGGTTCTGTCAGTGCGTTGGCATACCGCGGCCCTCAGCCGCAACTTGGTGCTGCCAGGAGTGCTTTACGATGGAAACCAGGCCGGCCAAGCTAGCCGCCGACAGGGCTGGAATGGTCTAGTGGCTGAATGGAATGGGCAACCAGGTGATCGAATCCAAGTCGAAGAGCATCGATTGCCACAAACGTGGGCAAGCTTTCAATGGCAACACCTTGGCTCTGCTTCAGCCTTTGTCGCCTTGCACTCTGTGCCCTCAATGCCGACGAATCGCCACCAGGACGGGTTGCATATGCTACATACAAAGTATAATCTGCAGCGCTGGTTCATGCACATTGCCGTCAGGACCTCTACTGGTCAATGGGTGCCGAGGCCAGACAGTTTTGGCTTGGCGGCCTTGCTTTCTTCGGGTTGAAGACAGTCTAAGTTTCATCGCTTTGGGGCGGGCAGAGTCGTGAGCGCAAATTGTAGGTTGACTTTTTATACTTTAGGGCCTCCGGCTCAGTCATCCGACATTGCACCCTCCGCTTCCTGTCCCCTGCATGTCCTTGCTCCCCTTCATGTCCCCTTTGTTGTCCCTGCAAGTCCCAGTCATTTCCCTCCTACATCTCGCTTCAGTTCCGTTCATGTCCCTTGACTGTCTTTCATTTCCCTGCGTGTCCCCTTCATTTCTTGTTCCTTTCGCTTTCATTTCCCTTTCAGATCCCTGTCGTTTCCCTTGCAACTCCACCTGATGTCCTGTCATTCCGCTTCCTGTCCCCTGCATGTCCTTGCATTTTCCTGCACTGCACCTTTTGATGTCCCCTTCATGTCCCCTTTATTGTTCCTGCATTTCCCTTGCATCGCCGTTGGATTTCCCCTTCATTTTCCTGTCCTTTTTGCCAGTATTTCCCATGCATTACCCCTTCGTTTCCAGTTATTTCCCTCCTACATCTTCCTTCGTTTGTTTCTGTTCATTTCCCCTTCACTTTCATTTCCCATCGTTTCCCTTCATTTCTTGCAGTTCCCCTTTGTTTCCTTTGCATTTCCCCTTGCTTCCTGTCCCCCGCATGTCCTCGCATTCCCCTGCACTTCACCATCATTTCCCCTCCTTCATGTCCCCTTTGTCTTCCTTGCATTTCCCTTGCATTCCCTTGCATGTCCCCTTCATTTCCGTCATTTCCCCGTCCCCTTCCTTCAGTGCTCCCCCGCGGTGTTCTGCAGTTCCGCACATGTCCCCTGTAATGACCCTGCATTTTCGATTCATGTCCCTTCATTTTGCAGCTTCATTTCCCGTTGTTTTTCAGCCTGAGGCCAATACTACCGCAAAACACGGTAGTTTTCAACTTTTTGGCCAAAAAGGCGGTCGAAAAACACGGCGTTTCTCACTGTTTTCAGGCAGAAGGCCCGAGCTGGTAGAGAGCCGGCAGGGGGATTCGAGCCTGCAACCCGTGTTTTTGGACACCGGCTCTCGGAAGACTTTAGTGGAACGTCATCCGCTTGCTGCGCGGTACGTGGGGGGGAAGGGTGCTGGGGGGGATTAGGGGCGCAGTTGTCTTCTATCCTCTCTTAGGTATCCGACACGCCGAACAATGTCGGCGGATACTTGTCCGGCTTGTTGCTGCAACTCTGGACTCATTTGTTCTGACTGCCTGCTTGTAAGCGTTCTTGTCACTTGTCCTTGGCTTCCTCACTCCATTGGTTGCTTGATGCTTGCCATGGTCGGTCAGGGTTGCTTGCCCACTTGTTTGGCTGCCTGCTGTCTGCCCTTAACGGCTGGCGTGCTTTTTGGCCTCTTTGCCTGTCTGCCTGACGGATGGACGGACAGAGCGGTCGGCCAACCCGACAGACGAAGCTGCCGTTCGGCAGTGTGTTGTATATTTTTGTTTGGATTTCACTCAGCTTCAACTCCAGATTTTGGATAGTAGCAACACGTGAGGCGTTGGGGCTGTGTGGGGGGCTGTGTGGGGCGGATCTTTTTTCAAGCCCCACAAGAAAATCACGTGGAGCAGTGGCTGTTTATTTTGCAGCGTTTGGTTGGCATCATACGCACAACATCATTTCAGCGTGTTTGCAGTATTTGTTGTGAACGCATGTGTGTTGCAAGCCATGTAGCTCAGACAGGAGAGACTGGCAGCCTGCGAATCTTTTCTCGCAATGGACCCAAAGTTAGCAGCTTGCTTGGATGAATTGTCCATGAGACTGCACGCTGCAGCTGATGCACCAGAGCTGGAGCTGCGTGAAACTTGCTCTGCGACAGCTAAGAAATTGAAGGAACTGGCCGAATTGGGGCAACCCACCGTACCGATTTCCGTAACATTGAGCTTCGAAGAAAGCTTTCCAGCACATTCATCCAACAAGCATCCTGTGACATGCTTGCATGCCATTGACGTTGCACGGATCATAAGTGGCTCAGAAGGTGGTCTGTTGAAACTTTGGGCTATGTCCGGGAAGGGCCTTGTGGAGGTGGAAGGCCATACAGATGCCATTGTTGCAATTGGTTCTGCCCCTGCCGATTGCATCGTGTCAGCGTCCAGAGACAGAACCCTGAAAATTTGGAACATGGACTTACAGTGCCTGCAAGTGGCACAGCGCATGCCGAGGGGGTTGACGTGTGGCGCAACGCAGGCAAATCTGTTGGCACTGGGAGCCAAGGATCATTGCATCCACATCTGGAATTTACAGACTTTGGAGCCTGTGGCTTGCTGGAAAGGGCATACAGATGCAGTGCTTTGCATTTGCAACGGCATACCTGGTTTCATCAGCGGCGGCAGTGACAGGACAATAAAACTCTGGAACTCAGCTGGCAGTCACAAATCCCTAGAAGGGCACTCAGGTGCCGTGTCTTGCCTCGCTGCTTGTGGTGATTACATTGCCAGTGGCTCCAAAGACAAGTATATCAAAATTTGGGATTCAAACAGCTCTCAGTGTGTGGCGACCTTTTGCGGGCATTTATCCTACGTCCGGTCAATCCTTTTCTTGCACCCAACTCGCGTTGTTTCCGCTTCATCGGACAGAACCCTGCGGATATGGGACGTTGCCGCCCAAGCCTGCTTGGCACAACTGGAGGGTCACAGCGATTCAGTTGTTTCAGTTGAAAGTGTCGGTGAACACCTTGTGAGTGCATCTGATGATTGCACCCTAAAAGTCTGGCGTCCGGCAAGATGTCCAGGGCTGACTTGTGACGAAACTAGTTCTTAACTGTGCCAACGGATGTGATCTCTTCAACTTGTGACTGGTCTCTTGCAGATTGAATGGGTCGCCACGTTTACTTGAGCAACATAACATGTTTCATGATCCAACTTGCGTTTGTTGGGTCCTAGTGCCTCCAACCAGGCCTTGTGAGAGCGCCTTGAGAGCGCCTTGAGAGCGCCTTGAGAGCGCCTTGAGGGCGAGCGCTTTGAAAGCGAGCCAAAATACAGTCCGCGGACGAATTGCTCAAGTGATTGAAGTGTGCTTGCAGCATGAAGAAAGAGATGTGACAGAACAATCATTTGATGATACTGGTGATGCGCATCCAGGCATTTGCGAAGGGAACGCTGCTTCAGCTATTATCTGGACCTGTATCGCTGAATGGGCAAGACACTGGGAATGCAGTAGTTCATGCCGATTCATCCCTGCTCATATTTCACACACCTGAGCATTCCTTGCCGAGGACGGGTTTGCAAAGACTGGCCAACGAAATAGTACTGCTTTGCTCGATGTCGGTCTGGTTGTACCTCCAGGCTTGCCACTCAACCATTCTTTGCAACACATCCGTGCAGCCTGAAGGTGGCTTAGAAGAAAAATCATATTGGATACAACTTGGAGAGATGCAAAGCGGGCATGCCTTTCGAGCAGCTCTTGAAGCGGCGCTTCTTCGCGCCAATCTGTCTAGCGAAACTTGGCCTCTCTAGACGCTGGGAGTCTTGCTTTGTGCCTGCACTGAGTTGCTGAGGAGGGCCTTCCAGATCCAGATCAGATCTTGAAGGCCAAGGCCCCTTAGCGCAGTCGGGTCAACGGACAAGCAAATGAGCTGGTCCTTTGGCACTGCCGAGCTTGGCATTGCTGCAACTTGCCTCTCAACGCATCCAAGGCAAGATTTGCCTTAGCCCGCTGGCAGTCAGAGAACGCCTTTCATGGCTTCGAGATGTTTGGTCGCAACAGCAATCGAAGCTTGGCAGCTCTCGCAACGTTCTGGGCATCTTTCGGATAAGTTGTGTGGTTGTGTGTGTGTGTGTGTGTGTGTGTTCGCGGGCCTTACCTTCACTGAGAACATCCTTGCAAGATGGGAGGGAGTCAGTTCTGGAGTACTACAAGTGGACCCTCCTGGCTTTCCGAGTGCAACTAGCCGGGTGTTTGCTTTTCTTGAAGTCAGGTCCCAGGTGGCAGCAACAGAACGGCAACATGTGGGATTCAATCCGCAAATCTCAAACGACCGGAGCATTCATTCGCTGCGGCCGCGTCATTTGCCTGGCAGGAAGGGGAATATACGCCATGGGATGGGCTGGACAAGCTGAAGCTCCAGGCTTTGCATTCCTGATCTTGGATGTCTTGGATGTTCAGCCGGGGCTGAAGGCCGTGGATTCGACAAGTTGCTTTCTGACTGTTTGAGCTTTGAGATGCTTTGAGCCTTTCATTGTTCGACATGTTTGACCCTTTGATCCTTCAGGCGATTGCCAAGGAGGCCCTTGACGTTTTGTCCAAAGCGCCTTTGGAAAAGACGGGCTTCATGTTGGCCCTCGATGGAAGCGGCCAGTGGCTACCTGGAGTTGGGCGGGCATTGATGCCTGGCTCATGTGCCTGGTTTATGCCTGGTTAATGCCTGGTTAATGCAAAACGTGCAATGGAAAATGATTTAAATAGTGTGCACTCGTATCTTCCATTTAGCGTATCTTCGGTGTGCTCTCCAGGATGGATCCGGTGTCTCAAGGCCAAGCCATGGGCATCCTGGAAGGAATTTCAACGCCTCATGCATCCTGCTGGATACTGCTGGATGCATTGAGGCACCTTCGCAAGAGCTATTGCTGCTGGCCGCGCAATTGGAATGGACACGAAGCTGTGGGAGTCGTTCTTGCAGAGATTCGACTGCAGCCAAGAAGAGCAAAGCACTGGTGCCAAGACCGTCGTCGGTTGCCTCATGTGAAATCAGCTGAGGAGTGCTTGTAAGCTTCATGCAAACCGCCCTCTGATTGCACGTTGGGCTGTGGAATTTTAGGCGCGTGAGTAAGTCATGCTTTTGAGCGGAGCCGGTTGCAAAGCACTTTGACTTTTTACGAACTTGTGCCTCCCTTGCTCAAACTTTCACCTGCACACGGCACAGTGTCGCGAACCATGCTAGCCACAACTCCCGGTGAGGAATTCTCAAGAAGAGCTGGCAGCCAGGGCGAGGTGCTGCTGAAGCATTCTTTGTGCTGCCTTTGAGCCTTGCCTCACAACTCTTTGGAACTGCCGAGTTCCTCCAGGTGCCGTTCTGTTGCAGTGCATTAGACAGCTGCATATCGCAGCTGTTGTCACCTTGTCTTTTTGTCAGTGTCTTGCGTTCCCTGCAGGCAGCACAAAAAGCTGGCGATTGGTTCGCACAACTTAGCAAAACAGCTCCACTCTGGGGTGGCACCCTTGATGCGCAGTGCGAAGACAAAGAAGGTGCCTGGGCTGGTGGCTTGGTTCGAACAAAGAAAGGGCCAGGTATGACACGCTAGATTGGTTCCACTGTTTGCCTCAAGCATGGAACAAGTGGCGATTTGAAGCAACCTTGGTGCCATGATGAGGGACTTGTCCAATGTCATGCAGCAGAGGCTTTCAAGCTTTCCTGGCGCTTTACGAGGCAGCTTGACGTAAATTTGAGCTGCTGCCATGCACGCTCAGCGGCATGTTTGCAACGCGCTTCTTAGTGCCAAGGTGACTCAAAAAACATCTTGGCTGGAGCTGGCAGAGACCGCCGCTGATTTGGCTTTGATTGGCCCTTAGAACCCAGGACGACATTTGCGAATTTATCCGTAAAGTAGGCTACATTTGGAAAGCGGCTTGTTTGTTGACACTGCTAAGGACTTACACATACCTTTGGGACGTAGTTGCTTTGCGGCTTTAGCTTTGTTTGTTTCTGCGCTTAGGTTTTGGCGTGTCGTGTCTCTGTCAAGCTAATGTTTTGAGGACTTTCCAGCTGGCTCCACTTTGTATCAAAAGAGCTTTCAAAGTCGGGGATGGACATCGGTGTCAGTGCGGCCTGGCAAAGATTTGCTGTCACATCACCTCGCAACACCTCAAGATGAGGCAAAATATGCATTTGGATGTCTATGGCGTTCTTTATGCTCCGGAACTGTGGCTGCTCGGGAACTTTTACTGCACTAAGTCATTTTGACGCCAAGACTGCTAATTCGGCACATGCAACGTATGACCTCACGTGCTGTCTCTATTCTCCAGACGTTGCACGCGCATCGGCTAGCCATTTGGGCCATGCATCCAGCCGAGACCTTACTGCGATGCACCATGCAAGGCAGCTGACAGGGCGTTTGAAACTTCGGGATGTGGCCAAACTCATGCAGCCCGGTTGCAAGACACGATTTGCACTTAATGCTGATACTTTGGGGCTACAAGCTGCCAGGTATAGGACAGCCGGGCAGCTCATGGACTCTGCCGGAGCTGCCCTGAGCACGCTGCATGGACACATTGTCAACATGTGCGGACATGTCTAAGGAGGCCATGGGGAGCAAGTCCAGCAGACACGATTTGCAATGAGGGGCAAGAATCTTTCCAACCCTGATTCATTCAGAGGAGGCTTGCATGCTCCCACGCATTCGTATGTGACTGTTGATAGTTGTGTGCTTTCTTTGTCGCTGCTGACATTCTTGAAGAAGTTTTCTTTGCATCATGCAGGATACCAGGACGGCTACTCTCCATTTTGGGTCCGGAACTTGTCAATACGTGCAAGTCGTAGATGTTTTTTGTGTTGTGGAACACTCTCCAAGAATTCTGCAAGGTGACGGCTCACTTCCTCACAGCTGCTGCGAAGTTTCAACAAATGGGAGTCTGGCATTGCTTAACCAGATGCTGATCTTTGCTGCACCCGGGTGATTTGGTGACATTGCTCGAGAGAGACAAGCAATCTGCTCGCCAACTGCGTTGTCAACGCCAAGGGTAGCTTTCCAATTTGGCTACTCTGCGACAGATGCATGATGTGCAGCAGCAGATTTGGGGCACAACCCGGAGTTCAATCATGATGCAACACCGACAGATGGGGCGGCGCCCGGGCTATCTCTCTGTGCATAGTGATGCACATTTGCCCTTGAGTCGGTGCCAAGCCGGCGTACGGAAAGCAGGACTTGATGCGAGTCGTCGTTGCAGGAGGCAATTAAAAGAGCGCCATTTCAGATACACGTGACTGCTGTCACGCAGCAAAACGAAATGACCACCCCAGCTGATGTTGCTTTTACACAAGGTCTGGGCCTACAATGTGATGGAGCTCAAAGCCAGCCTTGATGAGCAGACGCAGCTAGCTTCCGAGATGAGCGAGAGCGTTTGGATCTGAGTTGCCGAGACATGCTATTTGACTTGACTTCTTGCCTTATTAATGGCAAACATGCGCGCGCGCACACACACACACACACTTTTTGCACAGCAGCTTCAAATGTGCAAGTGTTCATCTTTTGCGACGGACCCGCACACAGCTTACCGTTGGCTCGAGCATTCACGCTGAAAGCATGACACCACATCGGAACCCCACGCAGCGTTCGATAAGTTGGAAAGACGGCACACGTTTCTGCAATGCCTTGTATGCTGAAGAACTTGGAAGCAGAGAATGTGCCACTTGCCGATTGGACCCCATTCTGTCCGCGCTGTCAGCACCAGAAAGGACTGCCTGCTGTATTTTGAAAGTAAATGATGCTCATTGGCCAAGCCGAAACTTGAGAGGTTCTTCTTTGGGTGCGGCATGGCCACTCCAAGGCCATTGCCATTTTGCTAATGCGTGGCGCATTGCCAATGTCCCACGCAGGTGAATGCGGCGCGGGAAGCCGCCATGGCCGCCAGGCGCATAGAGAGATTGGCAAGTGACAGAAGTGACTAAGTGAGGAAATGCAATGTGAGGTGGGGCAGAAAGTTGTCAACGCCATGAGCTCAGAAGGTTTCATTTGTCCGTCCTTGCGAGAGAACACAACCCACAAGATGCACACAGTTTGACGTCTTGGCCTAAGACAAGTCCATAGGATGCGGTCAAGTGCTTGGGTGATTTGCTTGTTTGTTTCAGTTGCTTCAACCCCGTGCTTGCACACATGTCATGCTTAGACAGAGACCATTAAAAGATGTCAGATCAGCATGGAGGTACCTGATGAAGCAATGCATTGATTTGAAAGGTTGAAGAAGTTGGCGCGCCACTGACCGGAACTGGTCGCTGGCAAGCTGAACGACTTAGAGAAGCCGTAAGAAGCTTAGTTGCTTCCATAGGGAATGCTGAATGAAGGTACATGTTGAGCGATTGCTTTGAGGTTTCGAAGGAGGTCAAGCTTGCAGAGGCGGAGATGCGACTAGAGACAACCAGACAATGATCGAGCAAGGTACAGCTGGTAGTGTCCTCACCTTTGTGGCGTGCGCAAGAGACTGCCGCCCTTGTGTGGCCGAATGTTCAGGTGCTGCGTCATGGATTGATCATCATTCTGTCGTCGAATGTCGGGCAACCTGCCAGATGCATATATTGGATGATCTCCGAGAGCGTTGGGGACTTATCAAGTGACGATGATTGCTTCTTGCGTCTGAGAGTTTAACTGAGAGTGCTCAACTCGACAGGAAACTTTGGACATACCGTTCAGGAGCGACTGAGTCAACTTTACCGGAGTATCTTGCATTGCCGCGAGAGGAGCCGCTGCAGCATCAGGAATCATCACAATCTGTGGCTGCGCGCGTGCGAAGTTGCTTTGAAGCCTGGCATGAACAGGGAGAGCCCCCAAAGCCCTTGTTGGTCATTTTAGTAGATGGTTCTAAATCCTGCTTTAAGGGGGGTTATAGTACGGCTCAGATCACCCTGTGTGACCATGTTGGTAGAACCAGCAGTCAATGGGTTTCGAGTGCTGCTGCTTTTTCTTATGTTCATGTCATTTCATGTCGACACCAAGGGTATGAACAAATCCCTGGCAAGATATCACGGCCACAAGCTAGGCATCCTGAACAACTATTGTTGTGGTAGTCATGTTACAAACGATGCAACCACAAATGGTCCACCACAGGGGCCACCAACTGCCCCCTGTGTGACCAAGCAGATTCGCCTGCGCATCGCATTTTCTATTGCGTAGCTCTTCAACAAGCGCGGAGCCAGTTTGCGAACACGATAGCCTGGTTTGAGCGTCAGCCGCCTTGTTGGAGTCATTATGCACACTCCGCTGGTCATGGACCTGGATCCGGTCCTCAGACCAGTTGTGGAGACACTGTGGCACCAGCCCACCGCCCCTGTTTGTAATGAGCGTCTCCACCTCTTCGCAGATGGCGCCGCCTTCTTCCCAAGGGATTGTAAGTGTACAGTTGCGGCCGCAGCTGTGGTTCAAGCAATCCCTGGCCAAGCCAGGTTGATTCCCTGCATTTCATCCATGCTGCCTGGCCAGGAGCAATCAATTTTCCGAGCGGAACTTTATGCTGGCACTCTTGCTCTGAGCCGCTCATGCGTCTGCTCCATATACACAGATAACGCCGCCTTCTGCCAAAGCGCGCAGTTCAAGCTGGACACGGCGCGCAGCCGTGAAGCTTGCAGCCAGTGGGAGCATTTGGATGTGTGGGCCCTCTGGCATGAGCAATTGTCCTTGTGTGATCATCAAGAAGCGCGGGTAATTAAAGTAAAATCACACAGGGATCCTGGAGCCCAAGTTAGTAGTTTTGAGGCGTGGGCCGCCGTCCACAATAACCATGCGGACCACAGAGCCAAGATGACTGTCATGGAGACCCACCCGGGTCTGCTTAAAAGCTTACAAAAGCAGGTTGACGAGCAATCAGCAGCCCGCAAAAAGTTTGAGCAACTCCATGACTTCTTAGTTCTCTGACGTATCCTTTGCGCATAAACCGCCGGTTGAACGCGAGCTTCGTTTCCATAGGCTTGGATGTACCGCCTGGCGCGAACTTTCAATCACATTCACCAAGTGGATCGAACGCTTGACTCTTGCCCATTCGGTGAATTTGCCAGACGGATTCTTGAGTGGGCCTGCAAGCTCGAGTGGTGTCACAATGAACACTGCAGCGTCTCCATGATGGAAGCATACACCTACTTCATTCTTTGCACTGGGACCAGAAGCCCAGTTCGCCTTAGCAAAAGTCAACCGTGGACCCTTCGTGACACCACAGCAGATGCCCAGCTCGCACCGCTTGGAAAAGAAGTGAACACCTTTGTGGCGGCCATCCGATGGGCCCATAAGAAACTTAACATGTGCCCTGCCTGCCGGACTTACCAAAACCCCAGGCTTCCTGTCTGACTTTAATTGGGTGCTCCAAGTATGCACCAGCCATACCATACCATGGAGGCCTCGACTTACATGCGGCCTACAAGCGGCCACCCTCTTACAAAAGCATTTCAGCCTTTCAAAGAGCCGCTGTCTGAATTTTGTTTTGAGCGTGTAAATCCCACACTAGCGGTACTGACGGGGGCACGCCACGGCTGGCCACTGTTCAGACCATGTTCTCACATGCACGAAGCGCCAAAAGCCAAAAAAGGGTGCTGCTCAGATGAGGAATGGCTTCTGGGACGGCCTGAGCCCGCCCTGGTGGCCTGCCAGCAAAGCAGTCGATATGAGCAACTGATAAGGTTCTTGCAAGTGCTCAGCAACACTTGTGTGTATAATAGCACAAAACAAGCTGAGCGCGCAGGACTTTCCTTTGAGCACTGAAATAGAACAAGGAGGGAACACGTCGAGAGGAAATGAGTTCGCAAAATTCCCTTGCCATTGCGTGCCTCCTACTAGAAAGTGGTTGCTAGCTTCGTCCATGCAGGAGAATAATTGTTCGCTTTGCTTTCTTTGACGCAACGGGGGCAAGGGGGGGCCAGCCAAGTTCCTAGTTTTTCTTGGGAACCAATACTGTTTCTGGCTCATATTGGAGGTCATGTGTGGTTGTGTAATTTTTGCTGTATTTGTTTTGATTCAACCGCGCCATGTTTCTTGACATTTGAGGCAGTGGTGAGTCTGGGACTAGGTTTGCATTTTGCACTTGATTTCTGCATGCAGTCTGCGAGCATGAAACAAATCGAGAGCATTGAATGTTAGACCATATTCGCGGGCTGAAACTCAGATGCTTGAGGCCACAACTGGATTCTTCGAGCCATGATGGACCCTTCCCACAATCGTGCGTTGCATTCGGCGCTGGGCCCTCATTCAGCCTCACTGGTACGTGCCTTCACCATATCTCTTCGCAAGGCCGGTCTTTGAGCCATTCGGTTTTTGCGAACTGCGAGCGTGGGCGCTTGACCATTGTCAAGCAGGCACCTGCAAAGCTTTGCTTTTTTGATTTGCTTGCCAATAGATCCCTGTGGGTTCAGGTCTGTCACAGGGCTCTGGCTCTATCGTTGTGGAGCCACTATTGCGCATCCGAGTGTAAAAGAGCGCACATGAACCGATCGCTTGCATCCTTCGCTTTGCGTGCCGATTGTGAGAATCTTTGCTTCCGAGGCCAAAGATCCAGATCAGGAGCAAGCTGAGGCCTTTCACGAGAAATATCGCTTTCTCGTGGAAACACTCAAGGCGCAAACTGCAAGTTGCTACAAGGGCACGAAGAGAGAGTGGAATGGCTTTGTTGGTGTTCTGTCAGACAGATGTGATGGTTGAGCTGTCGATCATGACTCTCTGCAGCCTTATTAGACGAAGTAGTCTTGAGACTGGTCTCATGTCATGCACTTCGCGCACTGAAACCATGGTGTTCGTGCCAATGCATCCTAGCAGCCTGAACCCAACTCCATGACAGCACCACATAAAGACTTGGCTTGTTGGCCGTTTAGGGCTGGCTGTCATGTGATGATTCGATGTCGCATCCACATGTTTGGCCGCGCTTGCGTCCTGGCAGCACTGATTTCTTGTAGCTTTGGGCTTGGAAATGTGGGCAGCTGCACTGTTCTGCCACCTCTGCCACCACTGCCACCACTGCCATTGCCTGTGGCCGTACCTGTGACGACAGCGTACACACCATCGTTTCCAGCATCTCCCTCCGAGTTAGACCCACTGGCAACCTTTGCCCTGGGCACGTTTGTTGGAGCTTTCATGGGCTTTGTGTCTTTGGCAGTGGCCTTTATGAATTTTTTGCAAAACCTGCAGACGGACGATTTGGATGGAGCAAAGTGGGGCTCCTTTGGAGGGGTGGTCATGCCATCATTCTTTTTTCAGGGAGCTGCTGACATCTACAAGAACGTGCGGGAAGGAGCTGCCAAAGCGCAGCAGACTTTCCAGCGCTCTGGCCGCTTTCAAGATATCTATCAAGGGATTGAAGAATCCCAGAAGGAACAGGTCCTGCAAGGCTTGGCTGCTTTGCAAGAGCGGTTTCCACGCAGCAAGTCTCGAGAGCGCATATTTTCACGCTTCCGTGGCGTTGCAGATAATACCAGATTTGCTGCGGCAATCTACGATCTTGCTCTGAGACTGCAGCCAACGATGTCTGCTACTGGCGACCTGTACAATGAGCTATGGTCCCTGGACGAAAATCGCTGCACAGTCAGCAGTCGCCAACCAGGTAAAGGACGTAGGCCCTGGGTGAACGAGAACGCACAGATCCTTATTGACGTGCAAGTCCCTGCGTCTCGATTGACGGATGCAGCCATGGCTCATCGTCCGCTCTTCGCGCACGTTGCACCTGAGGTTCTGGCTAAGCCTACACTGCTTTGCTTGGTGAAGCTGTTCGACATTTTCCAGCATCTCGATGACGACCAAGCAGCTTTCAGCCCGGAAGAAGAGCAAGCGATTGAAGAGTTCATCAAGGTCATAGCTCGGACTGCTGTCATGCGAAGAGCCTTCAGATATGCGGTCGATGAGCTCGGCTTGGAGGACTTGGAAGGAACCTGGCAAGATGAAATCCGCAGGATCTGGTTCACCCGAGGCGGGCGCCCATGTGCCTTTGAGCACATTTTTGTGGGAAACCTTTCTGAGGATTTGGATGGGCATCCAGTTGCTGGTGGTTTGCATTGCTGGCTGAAGTTCTACCTGGAGGAGCTACGTGGAACTGCAGGGTACCTTGGTTATGTATACAACCGCAACCCCCGCGAAGCTTTGGAGGATCATCGTTACATCTCTGGCAAGTTCACTTGGAAGCATGCGGGTCGCTGCCTGGTGAAAGACGGCGGCGGCTTTTTCATCGGCGTGTCACCTGAGTGGCTTTTGGCAGACAGTACAATAGCCTACCTGGAGACGAGAGAGGAAGTTATGGCTAGTAGTCACGGTTGGCAGCGATGGCTTGGTGCTCGTGACAGGGGCTACACCAAGGATGTCGTGCATGAAGGCTTCCGCTATCGCAAGGCCAGGGGCGAACACAGTCAAACCAATTCACGGTCTCAACTCTAGCCCGCTTGCGTGAGATGAAGGTAGAGGTAGGTGGGAATGAGAGAGATGAATGGCGTGGCCGCTCTTATCTCGTCTCATTCCATTTGTCTTCTTCCTTCACCGTTTTGTTCCTCACGTCATAGCGGTAAGACTGTAAGGAGGAAGAATCCATTGACCCGCCACCTCTTTCTCCATCCGGTGGCGCCATCTCCTCACTGTCAAGACACGCCTAACAAGGAAGTCCCAGAGAATTAATTTGTGGACAGGAAAGTTGTTTGTTGGGAAGGCTTTTGTCACTTTTGGCTTACACCTTCTGTCCCAGACTCAGGACTCGCTTACCTTGGAACGAAGAGAGTGAGTAAAGAGGGAAGAGGAATGAAGGATAACCGCGAATCAAGGATATTAGAAATAGCGGATTATCTCTTTCTCTCCTTTCCTTTCCCATCATTTGGATCCGGCATTATCTTATGAAGAATGCCTTAGGATCCAAAAGGAAAGGAAATAAACAGCAGAAGCTAGACCAGATTACAGATAATATGTTTGTATTTATTAGTATCTGGTCTAGACACATCTCTTTCTTCATCATTTCTCTTCATCCGTAATTTCTAATTGACATGATGAAGAGAAAATATGCCATTCCCTTGCTTCTCCAACACCAACATCTTGATTCTTGGATAGGTTGGTACTAGGAGAGGAATAGGAAAGGGAAAGAGAAGATAGAGGTGTGTGAGATGGAGGCATGCCATCTCCCACATCTTCTCTTTTCATCTCATTCCTTGCCACATCCTGTTTACTCGCGAACAAAGGGAGCGAGAGGATGTGGAAGGAGAATGAGAGAAGGAATGGTAAAGGAGAATGAGATGGAAAGATGAATGCTTTCCTAATCTCATTCCACACCTATCATTCATATCTTTCACTCATTCTACTTCTCCTTTCTCGCATCCAAGCATTTGGTGTCTAATGAAAATGCTTGGGAAGAAAGGAGGTGACCAGCCAACAAGAGAGAGATGGCTGGTGAGTGAGATGGACGAAGGGGATGGGTGGACAGGATTATTTTTCTTGACGCCAAGGAAATTGGCACAGGGTGAGTTTGATACTGGCACGTGCAAACATATTGGCATCTGACAACACTTTATGCATGTATCCATTAAGCGTCTGCTGCTTTTGGTCTGTACATCCGCTCTTGGGTTAGGGTTATCATCCGCCGTTATTGGTTTGCGATTGTCTGGCTTACCTGTGTTAAGTAATACTCGTAGACACTATGCCTTTATGACTATACTATAGTTTCAGCGTCTCACACACAACCCCTCGCTCCATAAAATTAAGGGTGGGCTCACTTCATGAGGATTCGACTGCTTGCCAGGGAGATTGGAGAGATTGGAGTGTCTCTAACAGTATATCACACACACAAGGACATCTTGTTTCCCTCGGTCCTTTCTTGTCATCCATTCAATGCTTTCATCAACGCAACTTGTGCGGGCACGTTTTGCGTGTGCCATCATTATTAACTCATGTGTCCGACTATCAGGACGGCGCAGATTTCGATTTGTCCAACTCTTGAACAAATGAAGCAGGCATGGTCCTGACATGGAGAACGGATGAACATAATCAGGTAAGGGGGGGTATGGTCGAGAAGTTGAATTGCTGTGAAACGATCGCCTTTGGGTTTTGTACCTTGATGGCTGCAGTGCGTTTAGGGGTTGTGTGGGTAGTGTCAGCTTGCGTAGGCTCAGCAGCCTCAGTTGGTGCAGTGACCGCGTGGCCGCAGGTTGTTTGCCACAGCGAGGGGGCGTTGGTCACGGTTTTCTCCTCCTTCCTGGGGATAGCCTTCAACGAAGAGTCGGAGTACACCGCACACCTAGACAAAATCCTCTCTGAAAGGGACCTAGCCCAGGAACTGCCGGGCATCCTTATCGCTGAAGGCATCGCACAGCGTGAGGAGAGCGACCTGTGTGTGGCAAGCGTCAGGTTTTGTGCTGCCAGACATTGCCACAGTCTGGGCGAGGCTTTGAGGGAGATTCGCGATGTTTTTAGCTTTGTTCTGGAAGCTACGCTGCAAGAGGCGCACACTGATGAGCTGAGAGAGCTTGTTGCAGATGCCGCAGATGTGGCAGAACTTGTTTCCGAAGAAGGAGAGAAGCTGACAAGCCATGCTCTGCCCAGGCTGATTGATCACCTGAAGCAGCAAGGGCGATCAGGTGCGCGCCTCCATCGACCGCTTCGCCTGCTGTTGACGGGCCGCCCGGATGGAGCAAGGGTTGCAGATGTGGTGCACCTGCTTGAACTGGCCGAAAGAGAAGGTGGCGACGAGATCGGCCCAACCTTGTCAGATCGTCTTTTGATAGCCCGCCAGGCATTTGGTACCTGGAAGCTGGAGAAAGAAGCTTTTGCCTAAAAACATATTGGGAGGGCCAACAAATCTAGTGTTTTGAGACATTGTAAGGCTTCTTCTGAAACTGTCTAGCGCGAGCTCTGCTTCAAAGCCACGCTGTGACTCCCATCGAAGGCCGATGTGCGAAGACTGTTTCGCTGGCTTGAAGACTATGTCGACCTGCCGCAAGACTTTCAGCGAAGCAGGACAAGAGAACTAGGCTTTGCCTTTTTCTCAGAATTTCAATCAGGACCTGGGAGAACTGTTTGTATGACCTGGAGATGGACCTGTGGGCAAGCCCAGCCCAGCTTGTAGCCTTGTTGGGTTGGTGCGCCAGACTTTGGTGCTTGAGAGTTATGAAGCAATCGCCAAGGAAGGGACTGTCCGCAGTCAATGCCGGCAAAGACATGTTGAGCCGGAGCCTGGTTTGAATTGCCAATGCTTTGCCTGGACCTTGATTTGACCCTTTCGCAAGGTGTCGAGCCTGTTGCTCAATTGATGAATTTCCGCGATGCTGCAAGCTGTGCCTGCTTTGAGTTTCGGTCCAACTCTCCTACTACTTGGCAAGCTTTGCACCCTAAACTGATACAGATGTATGAACAGCCTGACACGCCTGGCATGAACGGCACTTGTTGGCAGATAATTTCTTTGATGCTGCAGAGCCTCCTCTTCAAGAAGGCCTGGCCTGACCATTGGAAGAGCATGTGTGATGTGGTCTCAGTTGCCAGGCTGTTCTTGACTGGGACCTCAAGAGTGAACGGGCCTATGCAGATGGACCGATGGTATGTCTCCCCAGAAAACGCTGTTTGTAGTATGTTGGACACTTGGACACTGCCATGAACCGCCTTTGCATCAGGTCGCAATGTCAGAACTTGCGGTGAACATTTTTTCCAAAACTGAAAGTGCGTTGCTCAGCATTTGGTGAGCATCCAACAGAGACTGACCCCTGGCTGGGCTGCCTGACGGTTTAAGCAGGATGCTTTTTTACTCAAGACAAAAAAACCTGTCCTGAGACGCAGCTCAAATGCGCAGCTCCGAGTGACAGCTGTCAACACAAGGCTTGCCATACAAGTTTCGGCCTCCTACGCTGCCAAAGCTCAGTACGCCAGGAGCCCAGCTTGATATCTCGGTGCACAAAGCATTTATAACATGCAATCATGACTCTCAAAACTTAGTTTCAATACTTGCCCCATGTCTCGACACACCTGATTGACAACACCTCGACTAGGTCTGGCCCGTTTTCGCTTGTCAAGAAAGACGAAAAAGGCTGGGACGATTTGGTTGAGATTCCAGTTCTGAATGAGTTCCTTGCAAATGCAACAAGGCAGCCAGAACTCTGCAGCGCATGGCGCTTGCAACATGTATTTGGTTTAGGCAGTTTTGGGAGGGCTAGACCTCTGGATGTTGAAAATCAAAGAGCTCACAAGCTACGCGAAATGGATACTGTCAAGAGAATCTGTCTCGAAGGCCGTGTGAGCGCTAGTGCTCCTGGTCTGACATCGCTGCAGTGCCATCTGCTGGCCGTACTGCGGGTGGCTTGTGCTTTAATTGGAGTGCTTTCGGTGCATCATAACGCCTCCTTGGGGTGTCCTTGCAATGTTTTGAGCTTCGAGTGCACAAATGAACTAGCTATCAGTGCCAGGAAATGCAGTCCATGGGGAAGGGCTTGAGGAACATGGACTTTGCAGAGAAGGTCCGAGCAAAATTCGCCGACGCTACCCTCATGCGCACATGCAGCGGTAGAGTAGAGGAAGCCGAACATGGGGCCGAGAATTGAATGTGTGCCGTTGCTTTCTTGTTTCGCTCGACAAAACGCATTGAGCCTGAGGGGTCTTTGGCAAGGCTTGCGCAAACCCACTTGGGCTGAAAGGAGAGCAACATGCGCGAAGCCGGCTGGTCCACACTGAACTTGTAGACGGACACTTATTGGTTTAGACTTGACTGAGCCACAATCTGGGTAAGCAGCGGAAGCTCAGTAAGGGACGCCAGAAACAGGTGCGGCCGTTCTGTTGGTTCTTTACCAGGCTTTGGCACCTTTAATGCCAGATGTCTTGGTTTTCGGTGGGCTAAGGATTATTCTAGGATGCTTTCAGAGGGATTTGTTTATGTTGATTCAAGGTTGGTGTTTGGCTGGGATTTGGAGCCATCACCCATGCTTCTAGGAACTAACATAATTTAGAACTATGAGCCCAGCTCCTAGCTTTCTGGATCCTCACGTTTCCACTGATTGCGATATTGTGGAAACAAGTTGCTTGTTGGCCCTGGGCGTCTTGGCCTGTTGGCTTGTTGGCTTTTGTGAAACCTGGCCACCCGCACCAGCCAACCAAGAAAAGGCGGTTTGCGCTACTTCCCAAAGGCACACATGAAGACGCGCTTGGGTTGCAGCGTGAAACGTCACCTTCAAGGATTCAATAGGCGTTCTCGCACAGCCCCAAAGCAAAGAAAGCTTAACAGTAAGACCCAAGCGCAGGATAGACCCAACAAACGCATAACAAGCACTGACTTGAGCTCCACCTGACCAGTCAAAGCACGCGCAACTTCCGCTGCAATAGTCAAAATACAACCTCATGTTATGTTTCGCAGTCTGCCTCTGATTCCTCAGAGACACCGGCATGAGTGCGTGTAACGCCAGTCTATGGTTTTCGTAGTGTAACGGGTTTTGGTTTTGGTAATGTGGTGTGCCGGTGAAAAGGTGCAGGTATAGGGGCGATACTCGCAAGCCGGGGCTCGTTAGATTGATACCTGCAACAAGACCACACTTGTTGTTGTTGTTGTTGTTGTTGTTGTTGTTGTTGTGGTTGTGGTTGTGGTTGTGGTTGTGGTTGTGGTTGTGGTTGTGGTTGTGGTTGTGGTTGTGGTTGTGGTGGTGGTGGCTTGTGGTTGTGGTTGTGTGTGTGTGTGTTGTGGTTGTGTGTGTGTGTGGTTGTGGTTGTGGTTGTGGTTGTGGTTGTGGTTGTGGTTGTGGTTGTGGTTGTGGTTGTGTGTTGTTGTTGTTGTTGTTGTTGTTGTTGTTGTTGTTGTTGTTGTTGTTGTTGTTGTTGTTGTTGTTGTTGTTGTTGTTGTTGTTGTTGTTGTTGTTGTTGTTGTTGTTGTTGTGGTGGTTGTGGTTGTGGTTGTGGTTGTGGTTGTGGTTGTTGTTGTTGTTGTTGTTGTTGTTGTTGTTGTTGTTGTTGTTGTTGTTGTTGTTGTTGTTGTTGTTGTTGCTGGCTCTTGTCACCGCGTTTTGTTGTTCTTGCTCGTTCTTTGTCTTTGTTGTTGTCTTCGTCGTTGTCGCTCAAATACGTGTTTTCACCTCCACGTGATCCTCGTCTTTCTCGTCGTCCTCGTCGTCCTGGTCGTGTGTGTTGTCGTCTTTATGGTGGCGGTTGTGGTAGTGGTGCTAGGTTGTAGTGGTGGTGGGTTGCCTTGTGTTTTTTCAAGAACCCCAAACTACGTGCTCCACAATGCGCACCAGCCCCGTCTGAAAAGGAGTACTCAACATCGGCAGCATCTCTTGGCATCGCAAGCCACCAGCATCATGAAACAACTTCCAAGTCACTAACGAGACTTTCACCACCACTGCTACTCAAGCTTCTTGTCATCGCACAACAACAGCCGCCCCCGCACCTAGCTTGATTATCTTGCACTGGTGTTGGTTTGGTATTTCTCAGGCTTCCGGTGCCTTTCATGTTTGCGACTCAATTCTCTCAAACTCGCCCTATCTCATCCAGTCATTGAATGGGGCACAGGCTCATGTTTGAGTTTGCAGAAATATTTGCCAGTGTGCAAACTTGCATGTTCAATGTGATAAAGACCCGATACCCAACATTTCCACTGTCTTGCCTTGACATCTTCGACGATAAACATATGCTGTGGTCCTGATCATGTCGAGCTCTTTCTTGACCACAGTTTCCCGCACTTGTTTTTCCCTGATGCATTGGTGGCTGGCGTGTCCACAATTTTGTGAAGGCTGTTTAGTTGCTTGGACAGGTCCATGTTTCTGGTGGTGAGACAGGCCAGAACCCGGCGTCTTCCCCTGAGCACAGCTGCAGCCCCCGAGATGCCAAGGGAGATTCCGCGCTCAGGGCAGAAGAGCTGGGTCAGGAGATGGCCAAATGGCTCAGAGCCCAGCATTCGGAGGTGAGCTGACCTGATCACTGCTATGTTTGCAAGGTTTGAGCGCTGCACGCAATTGGAGAAAGAATTGAACAGCAACAAGGCCGGTTTTGATGTGTTTGTAGGCGTCAATGTTGCCACGGAAGCCAGGGCGAGAGGCAGAATCAGATGGAGAGCAAAGTAGAAGAACTGGAGAAGACTGTTGCGCTGAAGGCCATTCGTGTCTCAATGCGTTTTACTTGGCTTTTGTGCCTGCTGTGGCCCTCGCAGGAGACAGCCAACAGGAAGCTTGTAACAAGTATTCACAAATTGGAAGGAGATGTTCAAAGCCTCAGGCGGAGCCTTTGAACGCTCATTCCGAAGTGACTGTTCGTTTGCTGCATGCTAGGTACGAATTTGTGGCTCTGCAGCGGGAGAGGGCGGAAGTGACCGAGCAGAACCTCGGATAGTTCATGAATACCCTTGCTATGCAACTAAATGTTTCCAGCTCAATCCACCTTGCTTGACATGTGCCTGAGGAACAACCGCATTGCAAAGGAGAGTTTGCCAGTGCCCGGCTCTTTTGCTTGTGCCTTGCCTTGTATCTTCATTGGCTGACGTGACGCCGAGGATTGAAAAGATGAGGACACTGGTAGACAGGTCAAAGGAGGCGAGCATATCTATATATATATATATATACACATATCAGTTCATTGATGTTGCACGAATACTAGCGACTTTGGTCCCTGTCGCTGATATATTGATTGGCTGGCTAACTGGCTGATTGGCTGGCTGATGGCTGCCTGGCTTTGTCTGCCTGAGCTGCTGCTACCCGCCGCCCGCTGATTCAAGCTGATTCTGTGTTTGTCTGGAGGCAACAGAGCGATTGACAACTGACTCAATGATTTTGTCCAGAAGCTTTCGCCGCCAGGCTGGGGCTTCACTTGTGATCTCGTGTCACCTGGTATGCTTCCTAGGTGCAAGAGACCGAAAGAATCGTGGCTGAGAAGGGTGACATCAGCAAGGAACTTGACCGTGCAAAGAGGCAGCTGGCATATACACGGTCTTCACTGCAACTGCATGTCTCAGCTTGTGACTGCTGCCACAAGCAGCATTTTTGGCTGGAGCAGCTTGAGAAGGTAGCTGTGAAGTTTTATCTGAAGTCCAGCTGCTGGGGTCTCCATGCCAGATGCCAAGTCTGGTTCAATGGCGGCCGTTGGAGCTGATGATACATGGCCATCCGAACGACAACCTGTGCCTTGGATGGAGATGTCAGAGGTTTGTTTGAAGGCTTCAAGTCAAGAAACGACAGATCGCTCAGGTGCTGGGTGCTTCTCTAGTGCTTGGAGCATTTGTCGTTTGGGTAGCGGTCCTTAGAGCCGGCTGCCTACTGGGGTGCTGCAGAATTCACAGCATTTCGCAGTGCCAATGCCGGCACAATACCAATGAGGCCATATCCGGTGACCTCACTTCGCAGGTGCCCTTGGCCATACTGCCCTCATTCGTGATCTACAGGCGCGGGACGGCGCAACAAAGACTTGGGCGCCGACTTGCAATCCCAAGCACTGCATCCTCGCTTTGAGAGAGAGACGCTGGCTGGAAGAGATCATGACTCTTAATTGTTAACAGCTTTGGCGCCGTTTGTACACATCTACATGTGTACGCATAATGTATGAATGGAATTGTTTCGCTGCAGCAAATGCGCCATTCCGGTCAGATTTCCAGTGCTATTTGGGGTGTATGTGTTGTGTAATTTGGTGCATGTTTCGTTGTTTGTCTTTTTTGTTTGCCAACTTGCACTAGACATGTTCCGCAAACTGCAAGCCACTCACAGTCCTGGAGCTTCGTTTACATTTGGTTGGCGCGTAACCTGTGCCAATCCCCTTGTGCAGTGGTCTGCCATGAGTCATTCCAACTTGAAAGCATCAGCCCTTGAATGGGGGACAACTTACACGGCTGCAGAAGGCAATGGAAGCCGGAATGAGCCAGTTTGAAGTCTTGCTCGACAGGTACTGGAGTTGGTTCTCGATGGAGCTCTTCAAGAGCGCATGAGAGCAGACCTGCGTCGATGCCCTCGAGCCTCAAGCGGTTGGCGTAGCCCCCACGGCCCACGACGCTCATTGCGATTCTTTGGCGCTGACTCAAACATCAGCGTGCGAGTGCAACGACCCGAAAGCCAGCAGACTCATGTCGCAGACCAGCGCTTGGTGAAAACCTGGATGCAGCCTTGCTTTCTCCTCGGACACAGCAGTAGCAGTGCATGTTTGCCTGGTGCTTGCGATGACATGCAGCCAAGACTACACGACCAGGACTGCGCAGCAGTAGTGGCGTGTTGGCCAGGCAATTGCAAGCTGAGAAGGAAAAGAATACCGTGAAGGAGGTGGAATTGCAAAGGAAAGAAACAATGCACTCCTGGCTAGTCTTGCGAAGGCCCATGGCAGCAACACAGCTCTCAGGTACTTGCGGACGATGGCGGCAAGAAAGTCCATTCAGGAGTCAAGTTTGTCGGGCTGATTGCAATCGCGTCCAATCCATTTTGACATGGGCCAATGGGCCAGGACAGCTTCAATGAGCAAAGAGAGAAAATTGCAAAGGCTCGCGTTGTTTGTTTTGATTTCCCTCTGACAGCTTGTGAGTCTGCGGCTCAGGTGGAGGCCTCCATGCAGCAGACAGAACTTGATCGGCAAGAGCTACTCAAGGTCATTGAGGCCCGGATTCTCGGTATCACGAAAGCGCAGAAAACAGATAGTAAACAGATGCAGGGCAAGGATGGTCACATCAGAGAGCTGGAGGAGGACTTGCGACGGGCTCGCTTCTCGGGCTTTCAAGATTTAACAGTTAGGCTTAGCATTGCTCTGAGGCTAAGAAGAGAATTTCTGAGATGGAAGAGCAAAGAGACATGGCACTGCAGGAGGGCTGTGCACTACACGAGCGCAGGCTTTTTGTGCGCAACAATCAGATTGGCCAGGAGTTTAGAAAGTTGACCGGACGGATTCTGGACCTCTCCAGTTTTAGGATGGCACGATCCTGAGTTAAAGCACAATTCGTGCTTCCACCACACCTGGAACTCGGCCCTTGCTTGTATCAGTATGTCGCTGCAGTCCGCTTCAGCCAGGCGCCCACTCTTTCATGAAGCCTTTGAAGGCAGGATGAAGCCTGTCAGCGTACTGGAGTTTGTACTGACGGCATTTCTAGTCCCCCTGTGATCGACAAAAACATGTGACGATCGTAGTGGGCATGTACATAGTTCTGCTGCCTGAAAGCACAGGAGCTTTGTTGCCAGAATGCCAAATAAGCATTCTGCATGTATGACTTGTGTAAGCTGCCGGAGTTGTGCCTTGCTTTGCTGTGTCAGATCCTAAAGTTTGACACTTGCAGTCTGGCCCAAAAGAGCGATGTTGATGTTTCGCTGCAAATGCTTGGATTTGTAGCGGCACTTCAGAGACAGTCATGAGCCTAGCAGCTGATTCAATGTGTCTAATGAATCCCAAAGCGCAGCATCCATTCACTCGTCGGATACGCCTTAGACCGAAGCGCTTTCCGGGATGGCCAAAAGTGCAGAAGCGCTTGCTCGAGAGGCCATCGGGATTGTTCAGTTGCTTGAGGCTTGACTTGATGCACCAGACTTCTGCACAGCGCTGTCTTCGGTCAGGTCAAGATCAAGTACCGTTCATCCTCCAACCTAGTTCTACGAAGAGGAATTCTCTTCTACAATGAGGATATGCAGACCGTCGAGGTAGCCTTGAGTCGATGTTGCGAGTTTGATAGCCCTGCAAGCGAAACTCACACGTTGATATCGGCCCATCGGCTTGCTGAACTGGACAGATCGAGTGCTCCACCAGAACGGAAGATGAGCCCATGCCCAAGTGTGGTGCGATTGATGCTGTCTGGATTGCTTAGGCATGCTTTCATCAATGCTGAAAGGCAGCAAAAGCCATCACATCGTCGCATAAGCAGGAAAGTCAGGCTTCACTGACCAGGATGCTGAGGCTGCCCACTTGCCAGGGTGTGGGCGAAGCGTGTATGAGAACGCCTTGAAACCTCTGTGAAACAGGCACCAAGATAAGCATACCGAATTTCAGAGCAACCCTGTTTAAGTGCCCCAACGTTCGGAACGAGCGTTGGGATGAGATGGCACTCTGCCCCTGCGGAAAGAGCAACCCTGTTGAAGAGCGATGGCAGTCTGCTAGTTTGGAGAGGACATGCGGGGGCCATCCGAAGAAGAGGCGCCTAGAGCAATTCCTCCACTGACATTCCTTGCGAAGCCGCATTCGGAGAAAACGCTGATGGCTTCTTTGTTTGCCGTTATCTATCCATCTATCTATTTGTCTATCCATCTATCCATCTATCTATCTATGTGTCTGCCTGTCCATCTATCTATCTACCGATCCATGATGGATTGATTGAGTGATTGATTCATTGATTGATTCATTGATTGACTCTTTGACTGATTGATTGATTGATTGATGGATGGATGGATGGATGGATGGGTGGGTGGATGGATGGATGGATTAGATAGATACATAGACAGATAGACTGACAGAGAGACAAACAGAGAGACAAACAGATAGGGTAGAAAGGTCGGCAGATAGCCAAACAGATAGACACACAAATTGATAGAACAATAAATTGTTGGACCATCCATCCATGCATGCATCCATCCTTCCTTCCATCCATGCATGCATGCATGCATGCATGCATGCATCCACCCACCCACCCACCCACCCACCCACCCACCCACCATCCATCCATCCATGCGTCCGTCCGTCCGTCCATCCATCCATCCGTCCGTCCGTCCATCCATCCATCCATCCACCCTCTACTTGGAAAACACTCATCTCACTTTGCTTTTCCCAACGCGTCCAATCGCCAATCCTTGCCCTGGCCAACTTTCAATCGAGCCCAGCCTGGGCAAGAATTCGCGCGCCAACCCCAGCCCACTGATCATTTGTAGCTTCCCAGCCCCCAGCCGCAGCTTAGCTCGGGTTGGGGGGTTGGGAAGCTGGTGAACTGGGCTGGGCAGATGTTCATGCCTGGCCAGCCTCGTGAAGCGCTTTTGCGCAAGAGATGGTTTCAAAACGGGATGCCCAAGAGAGAGTACATTTCGGTCGAATTGGGACTAAGACATTTCGGACTTTTTTGGGATGGCTTCAACAGGGGCCACTGCGAAATTTTCAAGCATTCCGGGGTGTTTTCCATTCGGACTGCTAGACATGTCAAGTCTTTTGGGATGGTTCACGGAGTTTCAAGCACTTTGGGCTGGACAAAACCCTAGGACATTTGGGACATTTCGCATTTCAGCCGGTGCCGATCCATCATTGTCTTACTGCACATTCTTCCGCAACACGCTGCAAAGCTCCATGACATGGAGCTTTGCAGCGTGTTGCGGAAGTGATAAGCTTTTGCCTCAACAGTCCTTAGCCCAGCCCAAGCCTTTTTCTGATAGGGCCAGAAACCAATCACCTGCTTGCTTCTATGAAAGCTTGCTTTTTTGGGATGGGCAATTTGAGGAAATGAATGTGGCTGTGCTGCATTTGCTTTGAACCAGTCGCCTTCAATAGCAGCGTGTGCTGCAAAAGGGTGTTCCTTCTGAAACGGGCGCCGATGTGCACCTGAAGCTTGCGGTGAGTTATTGAAGCTTAGGCAAACTGCGTCGACCATGGTCAAGCTCAGCGGTGTGAATACCGTAAAGGCAAAATTTGATTGAAGAGTTTGAAGAGTTGCGAATTCCTTCAGGCCATGGACTACATTGAGGGCACACGGGTGAACTGTGCCAGAGTCCTTGCCGCCGTGTGGGCATTGGTCGCAGAGCAAGTTGCGTTCAGTAAAGCTCTTTCTTGTAGGCTCTGCTCTTTGAGGTCCTGATTCTGCGGCTCAAGCCGGATACTTCAGAGGCCAGACAAGATGTTGGTTCTTTGCCAGTGGTAATTGCAAGGACGCGCTGTGCAACAACCCGTCGCCGCCGCAGGAGGACTTGAATTCATCATGCCATGCCTTGTTTGACTGATTTGTGGTGTGGTCCTGTCATGTCCTGTCCATTTCGCTCAAGTCGACATTGAGATTCAATTGTTGGAGGAAGAAGTGATTCTCCAGTTTGCCCGCGTGGAGGCATTTGCACTCTGAGCTTGGCGAGCTTGGCGACTTCGGATCAATTTCAATGAACTGATCCGATGATTCCAAATTTGCAAATGGAATTCCGCAAGGACAAAAGAAGCCACGTCTAATTCAGGTGGATGGGCACGTGCATTCAAGCGGGGATCCGTTTGAGATGGAGAGGGATGAAACTTGATGGACACGAAGAGAATGAGTCATGTATATATTCGTTCAGGATCGAGACAACTGGGATACTGGACTGAGGCACGGGCTCGAATGTTTTGCGAAGGCAAATGAAGATCCAAGCTACAACCTCTCAGCGCAGGTTCCTCATCAATGCCTTAGAAGTGACTGTTGCTAAAGACCAGGTTGATGCACCAGGCTCAGCTTGTACGGCCTTGGTCTTTGAATTCTTCAGCGTCGATCTTTGCAAATTAAGGTCCCAACGCGAGGCTTCAGCAGGATCAAGAAGGCAGCGGGGAATGAAACTTGTTTCTCAGTTGGTTTTCCTTGTGGTTGCCCCATTGGCTATCGGTGCTGTTTTGCCATGCTTCCTTTCATGCTGACTAGCGGCCTGTGCGAAATGTAGGAAAGCCATTGGGCAATGTATGTGGAAAGACTCCGTGGCTGCTGACCTTGCATTGCATTTTTGCGTATCATTTCGGCCCCACGGCTTTTGCATCAGGCCCAGCCATGTGGGGTATGTGAATGGAAAACCCCGGCGGTTCGCCTCTTGCTTTCGCTGCTGAGAGACTGCAGGGTTTCATCAGTAGTAGCGGAGCGCGCTGAGTCGACGTCGCTCGCTTTGGACTTCCTCATCCTTTTGGTGATTTTCGCCACAGTCTTGCATGCGGGCGACGCAGGTCTTTAACTTGGCGGCCCCCCTCTGCGGCAAGTTGGCGCCTGTGCCGCTTCTCGCTGAAGCTGCGCTTTGGCGGGGTTTCTTTTGGCTGTTTTGCTGCAACCACTGAATTCACCCGCGGCGCGTTCTTTGGACTTCGGCAGCTACCTCTTGAGGAGACCTGAGGCAGGTCGGGCAACGGAGCATGGGCCAAGGTTCGGAAATGGATGTCTCCGCATGGCGCCAAGGCATAGCGCAGAGTCTGGACATGACCTTGGCCGGTGCAGAGGAGCACGAGATTGTGGAGCGCGAGACCCAAGGCTCTTTAACGAGACCCACTTGCTCGGTGGTTTCTGCCCAGTGCTCGCAACAGGCTTGGCTGATTGTGTGGGGCAGACCGTTCTTCGGCAAGCGACCCCAAACCTGTCGGCTTGGGAAACAAAGCAAAGTGCGTGTTAGAGGCGAGGAGCAGTTGGTTTTGTGAGGTGACTTGGTTTTCCGGGGCAGCAGCAAGCTCATGTCGCAGCAGCGACAGGGTGAGCTGGACGACTCTGTGTCAGGAGGCGGACGTGCTGGCTGAACTTTGAAATTTCAAGGAGTTGAGCCAGAGTTTCTGGGTCGGCTCGAGCAAGGCGTATTGAGCAGGCTGCCGAGTCTTGTTATGATGCGCGGGGACAGGTAAAAAGGTTCAGCTACCAAAGGCCATGCGTGCTCAACGCCCAAAAGAGTTCTGCCGTGTCCTGGCGCAGGCGTGTGAAGCGTGTGAAGATCACCAGCCATCTCCCCGCTGGTCGGTAAGATGTGCTGCCACCAAGAGGAGTAGTCTGATTGTGCAAAGCAGTGCCCTCCGGCGGCGGAGATGAAGCGTTTTCCATTTGGGTGTGCCTTGTGCTTCGGTTGGTCGCCTCTTGCGACGTGATGTGTTTGATGCCTTCCGGAGCTGTTTTTGAACTTCTCCGCGAAGACTCGCGGGCAGCTACGTAAAGGGCCCCGATATCAGGCTTGGTCAAGTTGCAGCAGGGCCCTTTGTTTTGGGCCTCCTTGCCCATGGTTCGTCGTTGGAGAAGCCTTGGGCTTGATCAGCCCACACATGGACGACGTCACGTTTGAGACCCAGGCTTCAGAAAAGAGCTTTTAAAGTTGACGTGCATCCGGAGAAGTTTCAACCGATCATTCCAGCCACGGGCGCCTCAAAGGCGTCATCAAGCCGCGTCAACAACGATGCTGATCGGGCACGAAGCGCCGCGCGCGGCGCGTTGCTGCCCTTGCAGCGGCCACGCTTGATGTTTGCCTGAACCTCACCTGGCGGAGCGCGCTCGGCCGTGCTCCAAGCACAACTTCTTGGAGGGCGAGGAGCTGCCGGCGTGATCTCATCAAGGGCAAGCGGCGCGTGTGATAATTACATGAAGCGTTCCGCCGACGGAGGCAAGAGTTAAACTTGGCTGCTGTGGAAGTTTTAGTTGAACAACCACGATCAAACAGTTAGGCGGAGCCTGAGGAAGCTTGCTGCTCCTCAAGCAAAGGCTTGAACGCTGCTGCGCTCAGTGGCGCCCGAGATGGTTGAGCAATTTAAGATCCGGACAACCTCAAGGCCACGAGCGACTTCGCCAACAAGGACAAGGTTGCTCCGATCAACCGAGGGCGTCAGCAAAAACAGTTTCGGATTAAGCCAGGCCGAATTGGCAATTTAATGGCCGGGCCAAGCAGCAGGAGTTGGAGCACGGCGACCCCAGGATGTAAGTGCTTGTGGAGAGGAGTGCTCCAGCGAGCAGCAGCGCGCCGCGGCTTCACAAACATCCCAGCTCTTTGGGATTGTTGATTTCAAGCCAGGCCGTCATTTCCAAGATGACGGGGAGCCTGGCGCCGCGGGCTGCCCAAGGCCCTTGCTTGCAGATCAAGGCGAGGAGTTTGGCAGCATCGCGATTGCGTGGCGCGACAGCAGCTCAATCTACTTACTTGAATCGAACTGGCGGCGTTCTCGAGACAGTCTTGGGCATGGTGGTCCACCCACATTCGCGCATGGTGTAAGCGAGGTGCTTTGAGCATTGGGCGTCAGTGGCTTTGGGTGAGTCAGTGGCGTGGATATCAATGAGCCGGACGCCTCTTGTTTGCAATTCTTGGTGAGCTCATCGCTCTTGTTTGCCAGGCAAGTTGCTTTTTGAGAGATCTCCAAGCATGCTACGATCAGCTTGCCAGGTTGCGTTTTTGCAGAGGTCTTACACCGAGCGAACTTGCCACGCGGCAAACCAAGTACTGTTGACCCAGACCCTGCAACCTGGTGAGCGTTGCAACGGCAACTCGCTTTCCGGAGGTGGCGTGGGTGGGCCAGCTCTGTTGAAGATTGGGGTCTCGTTCTTGTTCAGGTTCTCGACAGATGGAGTTTGTGTGGACTTCCTTCCCTTGTCTGATTTTTTTGCCCGAAAGGAGGGTGTGTTGTGTTCAGACTGGGCTGACCCGTCCAACCAATTTACAGATGTGTGTGGTTTCCTTCCCCACCATCTGATATGTTAACCTCGCTGGGTGATGCGAATGCCATGCTGATCTCCCAGTCAAGGCTTTGTCGCGTTTAGCGGTTCCTGGGTTCTCGAAACGCGGAGAGCTGCGCCAAGTGTGCCCAACATCCAGAAAGATAAGGGTTGACGCGGAAACATTCTGTGGCTGTTGACCTTGCGTTGCATCTTTGCGACCGTAACACTTTGGGCCAGGGCCTAGGCGAATGGAAAACTCCGGCGATTCGCCTGCAGAGTTTCACCGACGCAGACGCACTTGTGCTGACTGTACGCTTGGAGAGCGCCGTGCGAGATTTGGCAGCAGACGTATAGGTGCAAGCGCCGCAAGCCCGTCAAACAGTTGAGGCATAGCCATGAACTATTGTAACTGGTCTTCCGTCTGACATGGAGCCGGCAGCTTCCGGCGCAAGAAGCAGTTGCAAGAGTCAAGAACAACGCAGGTGAGGCTAGAGGAGCCTAGGGTGCCATCCTCAGGAAAGCTGACCGCATGCTTCAACGTCCATACTGTGCTTGTGGTTGATGTTGCGCAAAAGGTTTGATGGCGCCAAGGCCGGCGTTCTGGTGGCCGGCCGCTTCGAGCTTGCGAATGGCGAGGAAGCGTTGCGTTTGTCGGTAGAGTGCAGCTTTCTCGTGCGACCTGCTGCAAGAGGAAGCGATGTTGGAGGTCACGGAGGAGATGGCTGACGCGAAGGAGCCTTGGTTTGGTACGGGGAGAAAAGTGAGTGGACGCGCGAGCACACATCACAAATCAGGTGCGGCGCGTCTGTCTGCGCGCGCCCTCGCGCGCACATGCCCGCGTGCGCGTGCTCGCCTGCCCGCCACACGCGCACACACACTCACACACGCACGCCCGCGCCTGCGCAAACGCACAAGCGCGCAACACAAACACATAAACGCACAAGTGCGCAACACAAACACGCTAACGCACGCGCGCAAACGCAAACGCACAAACGCACAAGCGCAACCGCCCAAACACGCAAACAAAAAGACAAAGCCGCACAAACACAAGCGTGCGACACACAACCGAACAAAACACACAAATCCACGCACCCACCCACGCCCGCATGCCCGTACGCCCGCAAGCGCGGGCCCGCGCCCGTGCCTCCGCCCGCACACACACACACACACACCACGCGCGCGCGCACCCACGCACGCACACGCACGCACACGCACGCGCACGCGCACACGCACGCACACGCGCACGCAGCACGCGCCACGCGCCACATGCACGCACACGCACGCACGCACACGCATCGCCACACACGCACGCACACAAACGCACGCACGCATGCACGCACACGCACGCGCACGCACGCACGCACGCACGCACGCACGCACAGCACACGCACGCACGCACGCACGCGCGCACACGCACGCACGGCACGCACAAACACGCAGCACGCAGCGCACGCACACCCACGCACGCACGCACGCCACGCACGCACCACACACGCATCGCACGCACGCACGCATCATGCACACGCACATGCGACACGCAGCAAGCTTGCAGTGCACCAAGCGCACGCATCAGCGCCATGCGCACGGACGGGCACTCGCACACCGCTTGACAGACGCGCGCAGGCACATATTGACCCCAGGCGCGCAGCACGCAGACACACGCACAGACACCAGATCACACACACGCGCACGCACACGCGCGCGCACACGCACACGCACACAGCAAACACGAGCACAAGCGAACAGCATACACACAGAGACACACAGAGACAGAGAGACACAGAGAGACACACAGAGACACACACACAGACGACGCGCACTCACAGCAGCACACACACACGAGACACGCACACACGCGCACGCGCGCACGCACGCACGCACGCACACCAGACACACACTGACACAGACAACACGGCACAGCACACGCACGCACACGCACACCACACACACGCACGCCACACTCACACTTGACACACGACGCACAAATGCGCGCAGGCGCGCGCATACGCACCCACACCCGTGCACACCGGTGCCCACACCCATGCGCGCGCGCACGCTCATGCGCACGCACATGCGCACGCAAAAGTGCACCCGCACGCATGCGCGCGCACGCGCACGCACACATTGACACACACACACGCACGCGCACGCACAACGCACACGTGCAAGCGCACGCAGCGCACGCACGCACGTACACGCACGCAAAACGTGCACGCACGCATGCGCGCGCACGCGCACACGCAAGCGCGTATTGACAGGCGCGCACAGCACACACGCACACACACACACACTCACGACGCACGCACACACACCACACGCAAACACGCGACACACACACACACACACACACGACACGCACCACACACACGCACAGCACCACACACACACACACACACACACGACACACACGCGACACACACGACACACACACACACACGCACGCACACACGCACACACACACGCACGCACACGCAGACACGCACACAGACACAGCACATGACACACACACCACAACACGCACATGCACATGCACATGCACATGCACACACATGCACATGCACATGCACTGCACATGCACATGCCATGCGCACACATACGCACACCATGCACACACACATGCACATGCACATGCACATGCACATGCACATGCACATGCACATGCACATGCACATGCACATGCACAAACACACACATACGCACGACAGCACACACACACAACACGCACGCACACGCACACACTTGCACGCACACGCACGCACACGCGCACACACACACAGACACAGACACAGACACAGACACAGACACAGACACAGACACAGACACAGACACACAGACACAGACACAGACACAGACACAGACACAGACACAGACACAGACACAGACACAGACACAGACACAGACACAGACACAGACACAGACACAGACACAGACACAGACACAGACACAGACACAGACACAGACACACACACCCACACCCACCCACCCACCCACCCACACACCCAGCCACGCACGCACGCACGCACGCACGCACGCACGCACGCACGCACGCACGCACGCACGCACGCACGCACGCACACACACCACACACACACACACCACACACACACACACACACACGCACGCACGCACGCACGCGACGCACACACACATGCAAAGAGACACGCACGCACACATGCGCACGCCCGCGCGCGCACACACACACACACACCCACACCCACACCCACACCCACACCCGCGCCCACACCTATGCGCACGCACACGCACACGCGCACGCAAAAGCGCTTGCAAAGGCGCAGGCGCGCGCGCACGCACACACTGACACACACACACACACCCACGCCCACACCCACACGCACACGCACACGCACACGCACGCGCACGCGCACACGCACGCACACGCGCACGCACACGCGCACGCACATGCACGCACACGCACGCACGCACACATCGCACACACACACACAGGCACGCATGCACGCGCGCGCGCGCGCGCACGCACGCACGCACAGACACGCACGCACGCACGCACGCTCGCACGTTTCTCTGACGGAGAGGAACATATTCTCGAAGTCTGACGTTTGGCGACAGAACCTGAACAGCTTCATCGTTGAGTGGGTGCAGCAGAAGTGTGCCTGGCTCCCAGAGCACTTGTGAAGCCAGTCACCAAGTCACTTAGCACGACAGGTACAGCCAAGCGAAACCACATCACTCTACCGCTTGGCCACTTCCTCAATTCTGCAATGATATGTTTGCTGTTGTGTGATGCGCTCAAGAGTCAGGTCAAGTCGCTGGTGCATCGAGTGACTCTTGATTCCAAGGCTCCAGGGTTGTGTGTCCCTTTGAGCTAGCAGTATATCATCTCTGGTACCAGACTGCTGATATCATCAAGCGAATCAACGACTGCCACTTCGACAGGATGCTGCAGGCAAGCTTGCAAAGGAACTCTTGGAGCCTAGCTTTGGGTTTGGCAAGCGCACATTTGACAGAAGTCATGCGAGCCATGATTTGCAGGCCCAGGGAAAGGGCACGGACCAGGGCCATTTGGTGCTCGAGCTGACCAAGGCCAGCTTTGCTTCGCTTCGGACGCCACGGAAGCTGCGCCTGCAGGCACATCTGCGGGAGATCGATCACGAAATCCCCAAAATCATTGGGCAGCAAGGGTCAGCCGCTGAGCTTTGACAGACATCAGGGGAAAGGCCTAGGGGGAAAGGCCTGCACCAGGTCACCAGATCAGAAAGCCAGGATTGCACAAACGAGTACAATTTTTTGTTTTTGCTTTGGTTGAGGTTATGCGCAGCTTTAATTGCCGTCCTCACTCTTGTGACGCAACTTGCCTGTGGCAGGACTGGGGCTTCAATGATCATTCAAGTCTTGCGAAGAAATGTCGAGAAGATGAAGGCGAGTTGTCTTTCTGCATTTGCTTTTGCTTGATCAGAGAGGAATTTAACAGCTGCTGTTCTAGGTCATCAACGATCTCGCATTCAAGCGCTGCCTGCATGTCTCATCATTGCATTTCCACAGTGTGGACGCCAATTGTGAGAGAGAGAGAGAGAGACAAAGAGAGAACGAGAGAGGGAGAGAGAGAAAGCAGCAGCTGACCACATGACCCAATGCCAAGATGCTCATAGCCAGGATACATATGGACAGCTACGGCCAGTCGCCCGACTCCAGGTAGGATGCATAAGCTGCTGGCGCAACATGTTTCACTATTTCGATGGCTGAAGTTGCCATTTGCACCATTTCATTTCCAGGCAAGTCAGGCAAATGTATATACATGCGTGGCTTGATCAACGACACCAGCTCACACCACCACACTCACATTGCAGTCCCAGCACAAGGTGAGACCGTTGCAACAAGTCCACTTTAATCATGCTTTGCCACGACGGCCGATGCTAACGATCTCGGCACTGCCAAGCAGCTAGCCATGTTGTGGATAAGAAGAGTGTGCCTTTCTAGTCTTCCAGCTAGAGAACGTGCGCGTGCTTTAAGGGGAGGGAATGATGGGCAGCATTTTGATGTGGGCGCAAATGAGGATGGCAGAGTTGAGTTTTGATGTATCAATTGCATTACGCCAGGAGTTGTTTTGCCGGTTGTTAATTCGTTGACAATATTGACTGGGTGCCCGCAGGGTTGATGCACGGGTTTGCTTGGAGTCCTGGTGCGGCTTTTTGGCTCAGACCGCCGGGCTCCCGGATATCCAACGCCAGGCGAGGCATATCACACAAGTCACTTGACCTTTCTCCAAGCTCGAGGCCTGATGGGGAAAGGAGGTGCGAAGGCCGGAGAGATTTGGCTGCCAAGTCTGAGAAGCTCCTGGTCAGGGCAAAAGCAAAAGCACCAGCTATAGCCAAGGCAAGGGCAAGGCCGAGTTTGGGTATTGGAGCGATGTGAGAATTCCGAGAAGCTTGGCAGAACAGCTTGCAACATCTTGCGACGGCCTGGCTGGAGGTCCGGCAAACGGTGGTGAAGAGGACACCGTGGAAGGAGGAACCTAGCAAAGGCAAAAGCAAAGGTAAAGGCAAGGGAGACGGAGGCCCAAAGACGAAGAGCACATTGCGATGCGTTGTGGACAGTAGAAGCCTGTGAATCTTGTTTCTGCATTCACCGTATCAGGCGGACGATGGGTGTGGGTCGAAGAGACTCCAAGAAGACCAGCGCCAAGCGGTAAAGATGGAAAGGTGGGAGGTGGAAAGGGCACAAAGGGAAAGGGCACCAAGGGAAATGGCGCCAAGGGAAAAGGCAAGGGCAACATGTCTGAATCTAGTGCCGGAGCTCTGCAGCATGTTGCCAGCTTGCGCTTGCAGTGGCTGATTGTTGCCGCACAGCGAGTCGGTGAGACACGCTCGGTGCGTAAGCTGAGGCAAGCTGCGTCCCGACTGCGCTTGGAAGGGCCATCAGGTATGGATGTGGATCAACGAGGGAAGCGTTGCTGCGTGAGCAGTGTGGCATTTTGAAGTCGTGGCTGGCGAGCAGCTGTCTTCCAGCTGAGGAGGGCAGCACCCGTGAAGAGTCAATTCTGGCAGAAGAAGGTGGAGAGTGAGGGCAGGTAGCTTTGCCAGCACATTCTGCACAGTCAAGCCGGCATGTCAGAGCAAGCCATCGAGATACGAGAGATAGCTATTGCTGCTGCCTTGAGCTTCATCCCTGCAATATGTACAAATGCACAGTACTTGGCTCTGGTGGCAATTCGTATCCAAGAGATTGATCAAGGAAGGAGCTGGGCGACTCGGCCCATCCTGGAGTCATCTTTCGATACAACATCAAACAAGGCTACTTGTCGGAACGGAGAAGCACCGATACGTGCTGGCTGCCTGCCTTGAAAGCAAGATGACCTACTCTTGCAGTCTCTCCCCAGGTTGGGGCTTCATCAAGCCGGACAACATGTCAGGCACGCGCTTTCATTGCAGCTCATGCGGCCAGCTCAATTTGTAAGGTCTGCCTGCCCAAGTGCGGAAGAAGATGTCCGAAGCTGAAAGTGCGGCGGAAGAGAGCGGCAAGGAGGCGCTCTACTTGGACCAAGTTCCTAAGACGGTGACACCTGTCGAGGTGAAGGAGAAGGGCCTCCTCTATTTCCGCAAGCCCGATGTCAACCATACAGATGGTGTCTTGATGCAATGGCCTTGCTTGATGTGCAGTCTAGATGGCTGTGAAAGGCACTCATTGACATGTTGAAGATACTGTCAAAACCTGACAACACCTGTATGGAGCTCTCTCCAAGCGCTGAAAACCCATCCCCGGCTGCGATTGAGACACACCCAGACAGATACTAGGTGTCCCGGGAGATGAATTTCCCGCCGCACTGAGGCTTCAAGCTTTCCACTGAAGTGCCTGTGACATTCCGCGTGTATGTCGATGACAAGGGAGCTGGTGCCATGGATGTCTCTATGGCATGAAACGTCAATTCTGGGACATCCTGGCACCTTCCCTTCTGTCTGCAGGAAGACACTGTCAGCAAAGCTGCACATTTGTTCAATCATTACTTGACTTCCAGTGAGCATTCAATTTGCCTTCCGCGTGTCTTCCAAAATCACATCTGAGAACGTGAGAGCCCGACAATGCCAGCTTAGAAGTTGCGAATACAATCCTGTGGCGCACATGTTGATGCCTTCGATGAGCTAACGGGCTGCAGGAATGATGGGTTCTGTTTGGGTCGGCTGCGCCTTTCTAGTCTTCCAGCTAGAGAACGTGCGCGTGCTTTAAGGGGAGGGAATGATGGGCAGCATTTTGATGTGGGCGCAAATGAGGATGGCAGAGTTGAGTTTTGATGTATCAATTGCATTACGCCAGGAGTTGTTTTGCCGGTTGTTAATTCGTTGACAATATTGACTGGGTGCCCGCAGGGTTGATGCACGGGTTTGCTTGGAGTCCTGGTGCGGCTTTTTGGCTCAGACCGCCGGGCTCCCGGGGATCCAACGCCAGGCGAGGCATATCACACAAGTCACTTGACCTTTCTCCAAGCTCGAGGCCTGATGGGGAAAGGAGGTGCGAAGGCCGGAGAGATTTGGCTGCCAAGTCTGAGAAGCTCCTGGTCAGGGCAAAAGCAAAAGCACCAGCTATAGCCAAGGCAAGGGCAAGGCCGAGTTTGGGTATTGGAGCGATGTGAGAATTCCGAGAAGCTTGGCAGAACAGCTTGCGACATCTTGCGACGGCCTGGCTGGAGGTCCGGCAAACGGTGGTGAAGAGGACACCGTGGAAGGAGGAACCTAGCAAAGGCAAAAGCAAAGGTAAAGGCAAGGGAGACGGAGGCCCAAAGACGAAGAGCACATTGCGATGCGTTGTGGACAGTAGAAGCCTGTGAATCTTGTTTCTGCATTCACCGTATCAGGCGGACGATGGGTGTGGGTCGAAGAGACTCCAAGAAGACCAGCGCCAAGCGGTAAAGGTGGAAAGGTGGGAGGTGGAAAGGGCACAAAGGGAAAGGGCACCAAGGGAAATGGCGCCAAGGGAAAAGGCAAGGGCAACATGTCTGAATCTAGTGCCGGAGCTCTGCAGCATGTTGCCAGCTTGCGCTTGCAGTGGCTGATTGTTGCCGCACAGCGAGTCGGTGAGACACGCTCGGTGCGTAAGCTGAGGCAAGCTGCGTCCCGACTGCGCTTGGAAGGGCCATCAGGTATGGATGTGGATCAACGAGGGAAGCGTTGCTGCGTGAGCAGTGTGGCATTTTGAAGTCGTGGCTGGCGAGCAGCTGTCTTCCAGCTGAGGAGGGCAGCACCCGTGAAGAGTCAATTCTGGCAGAAGAAGGTGGAGAGTGAGGGCAGGTAGCTTTGCCAGCACATTCTGCACAGTCAAGCCGGCATGTCAGAGCAAGCCATCCCAGAGATACGAGAGATAGCTATTGCTGCTGCCTTGAGCTTCATCCCTGCAATATGTACAAATGCACAGTACTTGGCTCTGGTGGCAATTCGTATCCAAGAGATTGATCAAGGAAGGAGCTGGGCGACTCGGCCCATCCTGGAGTCATCTTTCGATACAACATCAAACAAGGCTACTTGTCGGAACGGAGAAGCACCGATACGTGCTGGCTGCCTGCCTTGAAAGCAAGATGACCTACTCTTGCAGTCTCTCCCCAGGTTGGGGCTTCATCAAGCCGGACAACATGTCAGGCACGCGCTTTCATTGCAGCTCATGCGGCCAGCTCAATCTGTAAGGTCTGCCTGCCCAAGTGCGGAAGAAGATGTCCGAAGCTGAAAGTGCGGCGGAAGAGAGCGGCAAGGAGGCGCTCTACTTGGACCAAGTTCCTAAGACGGTGACACCTGTCGAGGTGAAGGAGAAGGGCCTCCTCTATTTCCGCAAGCCCGATGTCAACCATACAGATGGTGTCTTGATGCAATGGCCTTGCTTGATGTGCAGTCTAGATGGCTGTGAAAGGCAATCATTGACATGTTGAAGATACTGTCAAAACCTGACAACACCTGTATGGAGCTCTCTCCAAGCGCTGAAAACCCATCCCCGGCTGCGATTGAGACACACCCAGACAGATACTAGGTGTCCCGGGAGATGAATTTCCCGCCGCACTGAGGCTTCAAGCTTTCCACTGAAGTGCCTGTGACATTCCGCGTGTATGTCGATGACAAGGGAGCTGGTGCCATGGATGTCTCTATGGCATGAAACGTCAATTCTGGGACATCCTGGCACCTTCCCTTCTGTCTGAAGGAAGACACTGTCAGCAAAGCTGCACATTTGTTCAATCATTACTTGACTTCCAGTGAGCATTCAATTTGCCTTCCGCGTGTCTTCCAAAATCACATCTGAGAACGTGAGAGCCCGACAATGCCAGCTTAGAAGTTGCGAATACAATCCTGTGGCGCACATGTTGATGCCTTCGATGAGCTAACGGGCTGCAGGAATGATGGGTTCTGTTTGGGTCGGCTGCGCCTTTCTAGTCTTCCAGCTAGAGAACGTGCGCGTGCTTTAAGGGGAGGGAATGACGGGCAGCATTTTGATGTGGGCGCAAATGAGGATGGCAGAGTTGAGTTTTGATGTATCAATTGCATTACGCCAGGAGTTGTTTTGCCGGTTGTTAATTCGTTGACAATATTGACTGGGTGCCCGCAGGGTGTTGATGCCTTCGATGAGCTAACGGGCTGCAGGAATGATGGGTTCTGTTTGGGTCGGCTGCGCCTTTCTAGTCTTCCAGCTAGAGAACGTGCGCGTGCTTTAAGGGGAGGGAATGACGGGCAGCATTTTGATGTGGGCGCAAATGAGGATGGCAGAGTTGAGTTTTGATGTATCAAGTGCATTACGCCAGGAGTTGTTTTGCCGGTTGTTAATTCGTTGACAATATTGCAGGGTTGATGCACGGGTTTGCTTGGAGTCCTGGTGCGGCTTTTTGGCTCAGACCGCCGGGCTCCCGGGGATCCAACGCCAGGCGAGGCATATCACACAAGTCACTTGACCTTTCTCCAAGCTCGAGGCCTGATGGGGAAAGGAGGTGCGAAGGCCGGAGAGATTTGGCTGCCAAGTCTGAGAAGCTCCTGGTCAGGGCAAAAGCAAAAGCACCAGCTATAGCCAAGGCAAGGGCAAGGCCGAGTTTGGGTATTGGAGCGATGTGAGAATTCCGAGAAGCTTGGCAGAACAGCTTGCAACATCTTGCGACGGCCTGGCTGGAGGTCCGGCAAACGGTGGTGAAGAGGACACCGTGGAAGGAGGAACCTAGCAAAGGCAAAAGCAAAGGTAAAGGCAAGGGAGACGGAGGCCCAAAGACGAAGAGCACATTGCGATGCGTTGTGGACAGTAGAAGCCTGTGAATCTTGTTTCTGCATTCACCGTATCAGGCGGACGATGGGTGTGGGTCGAAGAGACTCCAAGAAGACCAGCGCCAAGCGGTAAAGGTGGAAAGGTGGGAGGTGGAAAGAGCACAAAGGGAAAGGGCACCAAGGGAAATGGCGCTAAGGGAAAAGGCAAGGGCAACATGTCTGAATCTAGTGCCGGAGCTCTGCAGCATGTTGCCAGCTTGCGCTTGCAGTGGCTGATTGTTGCCGCACAGCGAGTCGGTGAGACACGCTCGGTGCGTAAGCTGAGGCAAGCTGCGTCCCGACTGCGCTTGGAAGGGCCATCAGGTATGGATGTGGATCAACGAGGGAAGCGTTGCTGCGTGAGCAGTGTGGCATTTTGAAGTCGTGGCTGGCGAGCAGCTGTCTTCCAGCTGAGGAGGGCAGCACCCGTGAAGAGTCAATTCTGGCAGAAGAAGGTGGAGAGTGAGGGCAGGTAGCTTTGCCAGCACATTCTGCACAGTCAAGCCGGCATGTCAGAGCAAGCCATCCCAGAGATACGAGAGATAGCTATTGCTGCTGCCTTGAGCTTCATCCTTGCAATATGTACAAATGCACAGTACTTGGCTCTGGTGGCAATTCGTATCCAAGAGATTGATCAAGGAAGGAGCTGGGCGACTCGGCCCATCCTGGAGTCATCTTTCGATACAACATCAAACAAGGCTACTTGTCGGAACGGAGAAGCACCGATACGTGCTGGCTGCCTGCCTTGAAAGCAAGATGACCTACTCTTGCAGTCTCTCCCCAGGTTGGGGCTTCATCAAGCCGGACAACATGTCAGGCACGCGCTTTCATTGCAGCTCATGCGGCCAGCTCAATTTGTAAGGTCTGCCTGCCCAAGTGCGGAAGAAGATGTCCGAAGCTGAAAGTGCGGCGGAAGAGAGCGGCAAGGAGGCGCTCTACTTGGACCAAGTTCCTAAGACGGTGACACCTGTCGAGGTGAAGGAGAAGGGCCTCCTCTATTTCCGCAAGCCCGATGTCAACCATACAGATGGTGTCTTGATGCAATGGCCTTGCTTGATGTGCAGTCTAGATGGCTGTGAAAGGCAATCATTGACATGTTGAAGATACTGTCAAAACCTGACAACACCTGTATGGAGCTCTCTCCAAGCGCTGAAAACCCATCCCCGGCTGCGATTGAGACACACCCAGACAGATACTAGGTGTCCCGGGAGATGAATTTCCCGCCGCACTGAGGCTTCAAGCTTTCCACTGAAGTGCCTGTGACATTCCGCGTGTATGTCGATGACAAGGGAGCTGGTGCCATGGATGTCTCTATGGCATGAAACGTCAATTCTGGGACATCCTGGCACCTTCCCTTCTGTCTGAAGGAAGACACTGTCAGCAAAGCTGCACATTTGTTCAATCATTACTTGACTTCCAGTGAGCATTCAATTTGCCTTCCGTGTGTCTTCCGCACTTACATCTACGAACGTGAGAGCCCGACAATGCCAGCTTGGAAGTTGCAAATAGCATTCTGTTGCGTACATGTCAAGCTGATGCTTTGTTGAGTCGATGGGCTCCTGGCATGTTTGTTTTTCTAGGTTCAGTGCTCGCAGCCAAACAGTTCAATTTATGAATGGAGTCATGCAATTACTACACGTCACCTTCCTGCCGACTGAGTAGGTCTTTGCCGGGAAGCAGCTGCAGGCTGCACAACGTGCTACGGTATGGGAAGCAAGACAATCAATGAACCTGCATTGCGTAGCTGTCAGACCTAGGGCATCTTTCAACACTTTTGCCCTCCCAGCATCCAGTTGTGATTTGCAGACTTTCCCGGCCTCCATGCATGGGATGTGCTGATTTGCAGTCTGATGGTGGCTGGGGCTCGCAAGGCACGTGGCAGTGGTTCCGATTTGAGGCTACGTTGAAAGTTGAAAGCAATTATCATTGTGGTACCCTTCCAAATTGCACATTCATTCCAAGAGGCAGCAGGGCTTGACAGACGACTTTTTTCGGAGTTAATAATTTTGCTAGTAGCCATAGCTGGGAGCTTTTCCAGAGAGCGATGTTCAAGGCAGATTAATTTCTGCTTCGCACATTATTGCTTGTCAAATGCGCGTTTGTGGCACGGACGTCCGAATGATAGGGCATAGTTTTGAGTGGAACCAGGGTCAGTTAACATTCATGATAGTACTTCAGGAGTAAAAAATCTGAATCACTCAAACATCATGTTCACAAGCTGAACATATTTTGTGGAACCCGGAGCACGACACATTTATTGTGCCCTTGAAACGCCTTGAGCATTTTGCCCAGACAGCAGGACAGAAGATGTCGCGCGGCTAATGATCGAGGCGATGCATGTCTGGTCCATCGCTCACGCACTATGTGTGAGCCGAGGCAATCTTGCGGTGGTCCCTCCTGGCAGTGCTTGGCATAGCAGGAAGATCTGAAGGACAGGGCATGCACTGCCTCGTCCATGTGCTCACTTTGTTGCATGATTTGCAGGTGATGTTCCGGTGCACATCGGAAGTCAGCCACTAGGCTGGCCGAGTTCAGAGCTCCTTCCTGGTCCGGTCCTCAAGAAAAGGCACAGCGGAAGCTGGTTCGGTCCTCACTCTCCGAGGAACCGTGGTTGGGCAGGGCCGCTATGTCCTGGCGGAGAAACTTTGCGAGGTCTGCCATTTGCCTAGCCAGCCGGACGGAGTCTTCCGGGCCCTTCCATCAAGCCAAAGGCACGGGGCACGGCTCAAGCTTAGGCTCTCCAAGCTGTCGAAGCTGCCAGGTTGCTTCTGGATGATGGCCAGGGCCAGGGTCAAGTGGTGCCGTACGAGGCGCTGATGCTCAGCATTCATGGCTCACGCGGAAAAAGAAGGCTTGACAACGAAAGTCTGAATGACTGGTGCTGCGTGCGATTGAGGGCCTTGCTGCCGCTATTGCCAGCGACCTGCCGGGACTACCGCAGTCTTCACAGCTGGTCTTCCTGCCTGCTGTGCATGCTCCTTGATTTACAATCAACATATTTAGAGGGAGGGGAGCACTGAGTACTGTGAGCAGAACGTCTCCTTGATGGACTTAGTGAAGGTGCATCAAGTATTAGCGCATTTGCCTTGTGTCTGCAGTCAAAGAGGGCAATGCATTGAATAGAGCTTCATGCTGTGTTTGGGTCAAGAGTCGCTGAACGCTTTGAGGACTATGCCGTGTCGCATTTGCAGCGACATTATCTTTATCACGAGGCGTTAGCAGCCACAGTGTTTCACATGTTTTCATCCACAGTTTGTGGAGGCAGCGTGGCGCTACAACTTCGGACCGCGTCTGGGCAAGGGCTCTTTCGGTGAGGCCGGCCAGCGCCGCAAGCTGTCGGCTTGGCTTTGGCTTGGCTCTGGCTGCTTCACGCTTGGAAGGCATGGCGAGCTGTCACCCTCGATGGCTCTATGAAGGAGGTGGTTTTGAAGCGCCTCTTTGTCGAGAAGGGTGAGCATGTGCGCAGGAGCGTGAGCAAAGGAATTTGGAATTTGCTAATGTTGGAACATGTGGAAACATGGCTTGTGTGAGAAATGCTTGACCAAAATGGCACTCGCCATTTTGGCTCAAGCTCGGACCAACCGGTCCAAAACTTAAATAAGCTTTCGCCTTCGCTCCCGCTCCCTTCCATTTCGCAATGGCATTCTCTACCTCAGCAACCTCGTTTGAGCTTGTGGAGGATCAGCGCCTCTCCGAGGAGGAGATCAAACTTGCGGAGATAGAGCTCGAGGGCGGTTCGGGCACTCCCAGGATGGACTCCCTCCCCGAGGCAATGTCCGAGCTGGAGGCCTACCTACACGCCCCCGGCCCTGGTGGGGAGCCGGCAGAGGCTCCGCTGGGACGCAGGCGGACGTCCAGGATGCCCGGGATCGGCTTTGTCAAGGGGCCCTGGACCTTTCTGGCCCGTCCAAGATGGTTGCTCTGGTAGCGGACAAGGACAAGGCTGGCTTCCACCGCATCTTGGGCGTGCCGGACTCCTTCCAGCCATTCCATCCACGGCCTTAGGGGCATTAGTATGGAGGAGATGGGTGCCCTTTTCTTTGAGTTCAAGGACACGGACCTGACGCAGTTTCTGGTGACCCGCATCTTGGCGGCCAGCTACGTCAGGAAGAGGTTTGGAGATCGCAGTATCAGCGAAACCAGCGAGGATTGGGAGGCCAAGCGCTCTTCGCATGTGCGCGGAGTGCGGCAGTGGGTGGCCATCCACTGCCTCGGCGCCGTACAAGGCGGACGGTGTCCTTTGCTCTGGAACCTGGTCATATTGTGACGTCCTCTGCGTCGGATGCGGATGCCACGGCCCTAGGGCCCCTCCCACGCACGTCCACGATGGAGGATGGTTCTCATGGACATGCGGGTTTCATCCAGCAAGAGATCTTGTGCACGGAGGCAGACGACAAGGCCACGGTGGTGCGCAAGGACGGGCAGTACACGGTGAAGACCCAGTGCCACAGAGTTCGAGGTCTACCGCCCGCAGATCGATCAGGCTGCTGGCTGTTCCAGCAAGCGGCAGAAGGCGGAGAACATTGACGAGATGCTGGAGAACACGGAGGCCGTGCTTTAGCCAGGCAGGTTGGCAGCGCGGGGGCTTGGCCGTCAGCAGGGCCTCTTCTGCCCCCGGGAGCTTGCCAACTCCCAGCAACCTGAAAGAGCTACACCCCATCCAGCAGCGGCCAGCCTGACCTGGACAGCGTTGAGGGCAAGCTGTCCCTGATCCTCTGAACCATCAAGAAGCACCAGAGAAGGTGTGCGGTTGGCCCAGAACCAGAACGTCTCCAATCACCTTCTGGCGGTGGGCGCAGTCCGCTCTCGCACTGGGCCTTGATTTCCAAGGAAAAGTAAATGATCGGCTCGATGGCCGACTCTGCCGCCGAGCAGGGGTGCGTCCTCCTCTCCACCTCTCGCGCTTGGCCTCCAGCAAGAACTGCTTCGCATTGGGCGGCATGTGTTGTGGGGCGTCCGCCAGCCCACTGACATGGTCCCTTGGGGTGTACTGCCACAGGTTCGCCTTCCCGTACATCTACGCGCTTGGATGACCTTCCCCCCTTGCGATCGTTTCGCACAGCGGGGGCGTGCCACTACCAACTTCCTCGCCACCGTGGTGCAGGCCAAGAAGGACGCCCTGCCCTTCTTGGAGCAGATCGGGGTCTCACAACAAGTTGGTCCGGGAGCTGTGGTCGAGGTCAAGGTCGGCGCTGTGGAGGCGGTCCCGGAACGGAGGTTGCGGGCCCCCTCTACGCGAAGCTGGGCTACTCGGACGAGGAGATCAGGGCGAAGGGCTGCTCCCCCCCGTAGGCCTCCGGAAATGGCGCGGCGCTCGAAGGACAAGACGGGCAACGACACAGAAGAAGTTCCCGCCCATCCTGACCTCTAAGTCTCAGCGGTGGCGTCCCCCAACTACCGGAAGAAGCACTTCCCGTCTAAGACCAAGCGCATCTTTTGGGCATCGGCAGAGTGCGGTCTCGTCTTGCCATCGTATATGTGCAGGTACAGCAGGGGCTTCTGGAAGTCCTTGCTGGGCCATCACCGGGGGTTGTCACCTCCCATGACCCATTTTCTCATGGTGGGGTGAATTAAAGGAAAATGGGTCTGGTCAGGAAAGGTTCCCCCCCCCCCCCGCCGCCATGCTCTAAAATTAGAAATTTCTCAGTCTGGATTGGTTGACCCCATTTTCTAAAATAGACCGAGTAGGAAGGCCCCATTTATCCGCATATCCGCGCAGCTATTTGGTTGCAAGAGAAGCCAGAAAGTAAGGGGGCGCCCGGAGCATGGGCCATCCCGACTTAGGCACAGACTGAACTGAGGTGTCAGCCCCACTCTCTTGGATGACGCAGCTCCCTGGACTTGTGCCTTCACGCAACCCTCCCCTCCCTCTCAGAGCGCATCTGGGCGGTGGACATGAGGAGAAAAGGCGGCGCGCTGGGGGCACCATGCTACGACTATGCCTCGCCTGCAAGAGCTTGGCAAGTCTACCAGTCCCCCAACAAGGATACTACCTTCATGGGACACCCAACACCCTGCACAATGCAGTGCAAGTCCAGATGCGGGCCGGTGCTCCACGATCTGGTACCAGGGCCTATATCAGCTCCATCACTCCCGTGCAGACTCGGCCAGGTGGCCACCAAGACCACCGCTCTGTCCACGGACCTACACCGTTGGCAACTCGCAGCGGCCAGAGTTCTTCGGGTAGGCTCACCGCAAACTCCCCAGCACCAATCCCAGGGAAGCTTTCTCTGGATGGGATGTCACACCCACTCCAGGCCGGTTTTTCAACCTGACAGGAGGGGGGGAAGCCCGGCATCCACACAATGCTTGGACTCAAAAAAGGGGTGACCGCTTTTGTGTATCGGCCTTTTTGGTTTAGCTTGCTTACACATTCAGAGACTTAGCGCAGGCTAACCTAGGACAGTTGTCTGGGCATGACAGAACATGAGACCGTGCCAGCCATTGCAGGAGCGGCGAGCGGGAAATCTATTTCGGAACCATCCTGCAAAATCGGCACCACATTGCAAGGCACTTCTCAACGAGAGGGATGATGGGTCCTGTTTGTCGGACTGCCAAACTCTAGGATTGGTGGATCTCAGATTTGAATCTCGTAGTCTCGGCTTCCGGAAGTGACGTTTAGATCTTGAAATCACGAAGTGTTGCATTGGGTTCCTCTCTTTGCTTCTCTTCATTCCACATTTGCTCTGGTTCCTTGGGCTTTTCGGGGTCTCCAGTTCCACCTTCAGGGTCCTTGAGGCTGCCGTTTCTCAATGTCTGGAAATGCTTTGTCAGCTCTTGGTTTCTGTGGTTGTCAGGTGTTTGCATCTTTACATTTCAGATTTCTGGATTCTCGGGTTTCTCGGATGATCAGTTCAACTGGATGTTGCACCTTGGATTTTCCTTCATTGCGAGACCCGGATCTTACAAGTACAGAGGTGTGTTGGGATAGCTAGCAATCAGAGGTCACGCCTGCACTTGAGTTTGCTGCAAGTCCAAGACACTGGCACACAGTTGACCTGTCAGCAGTATTGAATGAGAGCAACTTAGATGTGGACGCAATGGGCAACTTTGCGCGTTGATCTAGCAGACGAGCCTGTGATGCTCAATGCCTGTTTTCTGTGCCAGTTCGGCCTTGTTGAGCTCAGTCAATTGAAACTTGCAGGCAGATAGTTGCTGCGCAATCCTTGCATTCTCATCTCTGAAAGTCCATCTTGTCCCAGACGAGTTTTTTTTGGGTGCGCTGTCAAATGCACCCTGCTCGAAAAGATAAGAAGCTGTTGCAGTGGTCCACGAGCTTGCATTGGCGGCTGATGATTGCAGCAATTTGCCGCATTGATTGATGACTGGATCAGCATGCAATACATGCCCTCTTCAACCATTGCGTAGGTTTCTGGAGTCCTTTGAGGAAGTGGTCGAAGGCAAGCCAAACGAGCCTTGCGCCGCGTCAGTTCAAACACGCCTTTGCATGGGAGCAGCTTCTCAAAAGGGCTATTTTGAGGAACTCTGGCTGGTTTTTGAGAACGAGGGCTTCTCCCTAACGCACTTCCTCTTCAAGACGCAGCCAGGCTCACAGGCAAGGAAGCGCAAAATGGCGCTTGCATGTGTCTGATTCAGAGAGTCTCTATGTCATCAAACAATTGATGAAATTGATTTTTACAGCAGCCGGACATTTGAAGAGAGGATTCGAATCGGTGAGATGTGGGCAGGTTGTGGAATGCTCAACCTTCTGGTGGCTGATGAAGCAAGGTCTGCCATGGGGCGAAAAAATATTGAAGAACTTTGCCTACCAGCTTTTGCAAGGCGCGCACTTGGTTTTTATTCATTTTCAGCATGCTCGACTTTGTTTGTCACAGCAATTCAAAGCAGGTTTAACCGTGTATAACCTGGACGTGATTCAACACGTTGCTCGTTCGTTGCGATATGGTGCTTCACATCCTCGTCATCGCGCAACCACATTTCACGTGAAGTGCAGCCACTGTGCCCTGCGAGCAAATCTCAGAAAGCTTGCCACTCCAAGCATCCCACCTGCCATATCCAGCAGCTATTTCGGTGGAGGGACGGAATTCAACTTTGGGATTTCCAGGAAAAGCCCTCCGACACACTGGCCCAAGCGGCTAACACTCAGTCATGGCAGCTGACGTTGACGATGTGTGGCATTCAGCGAAGCCTTCCTTGCTGTTAACAGTCCTTCAAGTTGTCTGTCTGATGCAGGATGAAGAATTTGCACAGTTGATCCAGGTATCCTTCAGGGTTGGTTCGGGGATTTTCATTACATTTACATGACACAGAGACCCAATAGCTCTTCGCCATGAGCATGTTCTGCAGCCAAATATTGCTGGCATGCGGGGGCACTTGATACTGGAGCCGTTCAGTTCTTGATGGCAGGCATTGCCGTGACCCACAGTGCCAATATCACCCACAGAGATGTCAAAGGCAGTGGCAAGTGTGGCATTGTGCATGGAGACATGCGAGCTGATCGAGCCCCCTAGCTGTTGACTGCCGGGTCGCCGGGTCAGGCTCCAATGTCTTTGTTACAGACACTTGGCCACCTGTTGTGCGGCTTGGTGACTTTGGCAGTGCATTGAAGACTCCTCCCTCGGAGGCAGGAGGCTCAAGGCTGTGAAGGCTGTGTGGAGTCTCAACTCTTCAATTGCAGGAAGTGCGAAAGATGTATGGAAGGGCTGCTTGGCTGTCTCCGCTGAAAGAACGGGGTTGCGGCATGTTTGGGTCATAGGGTTTTCGCAGCAAAGGAAGGGCCATCTGACGACGACGAAACTCTGGAGTACAAGCCGCCTGAAGCAGGCTGTGGCAGATGGCCTTGGGAGATTCTCGATTACTTTCCGCGGTTTCATTTGAGTCAATTGAGTCGCAATCAAGACTAGGGTCAGGGAAGGTCAGCAAGGGATAATCCCAACCACAGCCACCTTGTCATTTCTCTGCATGCTGTTGGCACTAGAATGGTCTGAGTCATTTGAGTCATTGCAGTCATTGCGTCATGTGTCAGGCCTCTTCGACAGCCTGCTTCTGCACAAGGTCGGCCTGGAGCGTAGCAGCTCTTGGCGCAGCAAGAGCTATGATCTCTGGAGCCTTGGCATCCTCCTGCTGGAGATGGTGCTTGGCACCCGGGAGCGGGCCACATCGTTTGATTCACTTCAGCAAACTGGGACAAAGTCAGAAGACACAGGTAAGAGCAGGCACCAGCTGTTCAGGCAGCGTTTGGCTAGCTATGGTTTGAGTTTTGCACCTTGCATTGCAGCAGGATGTCTATCGGGTTGATGACCGGCGCTGGATGAAGGAAGAGTTCCAGCTTCTTACATGAGCAGTGCGGTGCTTCAATCGACATTCTCGCACTTGGATTTGAGCGCCTCAGGCATTGTGTCCTGAGGCTCAGAAAGCAGCATGTGCCAGAAGAGCGCAGGGAACAAGGCAAAGACAGGTTTGGCTATTTGCTACAACACGCAAGCATGTGCCAGATGGATGGAAGACTTGAAGGTGCATGTTGCCAGGCAGGGCACTCCTTGCTCTTCTGGACCTGTGCTTGGGTCATCCACAGGCACCTTTGCCTTGGTTCTTTGAGCTCCAAAACTCGCGAGCGCCTGCTTCTTGGCCCATGTGCAGCGGAGAGGGGAGACATGTGCTGGCTGGCAGAAACAGGAATTAGCTTACCCACAAAGAACAAGGTGAGCTCTGCTTCTTGCAAGCGTGCAGAGACTCTATGGTAAATCATGTGGTACTGCCAGCGCATGCCCAAGCCAAGGCTGGAGATCATTCAGAGTGCTCTGATGCAGAGTTTGCAGAACGTCTCCGACAACAGGTGCCTCAGCTTTTTCCCAATATGTCAGCTGCAGGGCTACACTGCAGGTGATTTTGCTCTCGGCTGCTTTGTTACACAATCGTTTATTTCCCATCTCAAGTTGTGCTGTGCTAAAATGCCAGAAAGCACATCTCCTCGTTTGTCTCAGGTTTTCACCTTCCACGTTTGCCTTGCTACACACCTTGTGGCTGCTTGCTATCAGAAGCGCAAGTGCACGCTCCAAGCGACCAAGCAGTTTTCAGGAATCATCGAAGTTGCAGCATCGATGACACCCATCAAAGCCGCAACGTTGATGACTCCTAGTAGCTATTGCATCCAAACAAATGCACCTCGTGACCCTGCCCCAACAATTTGTATGACAAGAACAGTGTGACCGCATGCCGTAGCATGGAAGGGCTAACTTTCGCTTTGGCGAGCTCGAAAGGGCGCACGATTTGTTCGGTAAATCCCAAATACTCACGACGTGACTGGTTTCTATGCTCCTGACACGTCCTCCCCAAGCAGGGTTACTGCTATAGAATTTGCCAGTTAAAACAATAATTTGGCTCCTTCAAAATTACTTTGAACAGTGCCATTGTTGCTAACTGGCGACTCACGGATCAGATATTCAACACCGAGATGACAAACACAGAGTGAGCAAGACCTGTTCGGACCTAATTAAAGGCTTCCTTGCAACCTTGCCCGAAGCCTGCGCCCAAAATCACTCCCAAGTCAGATCCAACACAGTTGAGTCATTCTCAAGCAAGCACCCATGGGATGCTGGCACCAGGTGTATACCCGGTGCCCTCACTCCGCGCGTACTCAGCACAAAAAGGACACACATGCGACTTCCCAGTGTCACCAGTGCAACTGGTGCATGCGCGCTGCACGGGTAACGCGCTCGGCGCACATGTTGGTACCGACGCCTGCCCCGTTCCCGACACCATTTCTTTGGTCTTGCTATCCGGCTGCGCTATACGATTTGCAATTGACATTGATTATGGCTTCAAATAAGGAACGATGCATCTTTGTATCAAGTCTAAACAACAGGTTCCGCGCATTCTTCCTAATCCTCTCAACATTGACAACAAAACGCGTTTACCCACCGACCTACGCAACAGACTTTTGGCCGCAAAATCCTGCAATGGCACAGGATGCGGCTGGTGTTGGCCTGGCAAGTGCGGCTGGCCGGGATTTGCTCCGACGATTGCTGCGCTGGAATCCCGAAGAGAGGATCCCGGCCCAGGCTCAAACCCAAGAGAGCAGAGAGATGCGGGCGCTACTGACAGCACTTTGTTAGATTCTTGTACTTTGCTACGCATTCAGCCTCCAAAAAGCACAATTCAAACGCACGGCACCCACGGCACACTCACTTTGAGAGTGTCATTTTGTGCCTTGGTCCGGAAGGATGCCTTGAAGCATCCATGGTTCGATGATGGCATTGACCTACCTCCCCTTCGAGTATTCAAATCCACAGCTTCTGCAGCCGGTGTGCTCGCCTCAAGTGCAGCATGCTTGCATGTCAGGGGCTAGCAGGCTGCACGCTCGGAAAGCGTCTTGAGGCAGTGCATCCCGAAGCTTCAGGCCAAAGTCTCTCCGATACTTGGCTGAGTTGGATGACATATTTCAAGCCTCAAGCCTTGGATGCCTGACAGCAATTACAACAATTGCTCCGCCTAGGATCCTGAGACCACTGTTGGTCAGTTGCGGTGGGATCTAGACGGCAACTTTGAAGGCTGAGATCTAATATTCACGTGCAGCCGTGGCAAAAGAAGGACTTGTCACAGGCGAATCGGAAGACTTCAACTTGGACTGGAGCGAGGCGGGCTTTGGACAGGATTGCCTTCGGCCAAGAGGTGCTCCTGTTGCAGGATTCGGACACGGCCCTGGTGAAGTGGGATGAAGGATAGTGAGACTTCTCACATATCGCAGATCAGCCCCTGCGCCCTGGGCCATGGCTTCAGGAGAAGGAACTTTGGCTGGTGAGTACTCCGTGATGTCAAGCTGTCCAGGTGCAGCTTGAGTTTTCGCACAGATGGATTGGATTATCGATTTGTCGGAGGGCTCAGTGCCCACATCGCCTCGGACGATGATGTTGGCCGGCGCAAGTCCATGGAGGACGGAGGGCTGTTTGTGGACGTGTGCAGAAGCCCATGGTTGCCTTAGGACAGGCATTCCATTCAAAACATCTCCGCAGCCTGTGAAGGTGGCAAGGCCTGCAAGCTGGATCATGCACCCCGCTAGTGATGATTTTGAGCAATGGCTTAAATGTGTTCTTGCAGAAATGCTGCCTTGAGCTGCATCGCGATTTTGACGCAGGCTGGATACTTTGCCATTTTTGATGGTCATGCTGGCACCTGGACAGCGACCTGGCTGGCGCGATCGCTGCACCACCGATTGCAGCTAAGAAGGAAGCAGTGGATATGTTGCCGCCCTCTCCCTCATTTGCCACCCTGGGCCCTTGTCTAATTTCTGGTGACTAGCTGCTTTGCCACGAATCTCGGCAAAGGGACCATTGACCCCCAAAAAAGTCTCTCACCTACAGGCATTTGGAAGGGATTGTGCCTGTGTCCTTGATTTGTGAAGTCATGCTTGCATTTGCGGCTTGTATCACCAGGAATGCTAGCACAGCACTTGCAGCTGCATTTGCTTCATTTGACAAGGCACGCGTACAGAAGGGCATTGCCTTACAATTGCAAGCTATATGAGGATCAGCTGGAGTATCGCACTTCTATAAATGAAGAGGGCACTGGCAGCACAGCTCTTGTGGCTGGCTGCCCAGTGTGTCTGAGAGAGCCACTCGGGGAGACTCCTTGCAATGATCTTCAATACCTTCCCCAGGGTGTCCTCTGCAATTGCACACTGCACCTGGCCAACCTTGGCGATTGTCGAGCTGTCGCAGCCCTCCGCAGGGGCCTCTCTGCATCTAGAGACATGTGAGTGCTCATGTGAGCCCAAGTGAGCCAGTTGATTTCTCGAATCCGATTTCGTTTTCAAAGCGCCGAGGCGGCACTTGGTCCAGCGCAGGCCACAGCTGTTGCCTGATGAAGTGTTGTTTCTTCCTCAGAGATCAAGATTACATGTTTTTTGCGACTTGCGCGAGTGTGACAGGCGACTTAGCTCAGGAGGACTGTTGCGGCATGTCAGGGTGGTCCAGCCTACGAAATGATTCGATGCAAGATCCTTGCTATGAGACGGGCCTTGTGAGGATGTTGACTGGCCGATTGGCGCGCGGGTGGAGGATGTTGCCTCAGTTTGTGGGCCCATGTGCGGTTCGGTGCAACCCGAGCCCAAGAGCCCAGGTGCGGGAAGCCCGCAGTGCGGAGTTGCAAGGACAGCGGGGCACCCTGGTGGAGGCGAGACTGAACCCAGACGTGAGCTTATTGGTTGCTGAATCAACGCCATAAGATGCTAAATATGGATAGCATACTCTTTGGCTTGGAGATGAATATACAGGCAAGGGAGCGAGCAGACGTTATCAGGCGCAATGCAGTCTAGAATGATCACTTGTTGACCACATTATGCAGATCAAAGATAGCCTTCAGTTGCTACGCTCATTCTGCTGAGTATGGACATTTGTGCAACAAGGCCAGTACCTTTTTGCTTAAGAGCAGAGCAAGCTGCATGACAAGTCATTTGCTCCAATCTGTGTGTCAAGATCTGTTAGTGAAGCCCAATCACACTTGCTTGCCCTTGAAAGGTAAGGGTGCACGATTTGGATCTTGGCAGGGGGGAGGTTCCCGAGCAGAGCGTACCTAGATTGCCAATCCTTGCCTGCAGGTGAGAGTCGCCGGGTGCTAAGAGATCAGGCGCGCTCCGTGCTTGAGATTGATGCTTGTTTGTGCCCAGGCAGATGCGGGGCCCAACCGACCGCGCCGTGTGTTTTTTGTTGTGCGGCTTTTGCGCGATGGTGCCCTGCGGCCGTTCCGCGCGCCAGGGTGCCTGCAAGGGATGGGATGAGTTTTTGTCCCTGGCCAGTTGTTTTGACCATACTCAAGCAATGTAGCCAATCCTGATGCACAGCAAAATTGGGCTGTTTGGCCAGCCTTCCTTGAGCCAGTGCTTTGCGGTTTAAGCGAGCCTTGACCCTGGCTCGCTTGAGGCAATCACTTCGCCTTCTCAGTGAGCTTCGAGCAGTACGACTCACAAAGGCTGCGAATGCTTTGATTCGAGTGGTTTTCGCTGCAGCTCTCGTCAACACAAAGTTCAAACATCGCCTAGACCAATGCAAAAGTCTGATCTGTAAGCTGCCCTCACTCTTGGCAGGATCACAAACCTGGCACTCCTGAAGAGAAACTCCGTATCGAGGACCGCTGTTGCTTGCCCGTTTGACGCTAACGGCAGTTTCATGACCGAGCATGGCGGCGTGTCCTGTGCTGAATTGTTTATTTTTGTTGCTACCTCAGGCTTTGGGCGGAAAGGTTGAGAGGGCCACGGGCAAGGCTGGTCAAAATAAAGTCATTCTTTCATTTGGACTTTGCTAGGGCGACAAAGAGCGCTCTGCCCGCGTCGCCGGCTTGGCCACTTCGAGGTGGGTGCTCATCGCAGGAGTTATCCATGGGGGCTGTGGCAGGAGCTTTACAGGCTCAGAGCGACGACCGCTCGTGAGTGCAGAGCCAGAGTCGGCTTCTCAGTCAATGACTGTACAGGTGACATCCGTTTCGACCCCTTCTAGGGGGCGGCCTTGTCTTTTTCACTGAATGCAGTGTGTTGGTGCTTGGCAATTTTTTGTAGCAACAGGGATCATGTTTTGAATGTAAGCGTTATTTCCCTTTTCTGAAAGCTTTGGGAAGAGATTCGGGGGGTAAGGTTCTACGAGGGTTCTACTAGTGTTCCACCAGGGTTCCACCAGGGTTCTACGATGCAGGGAGGTGCGAGCACTACAAAGAGCACCGCATGCTGTTGGGGATATCACCTGAGCTTATTTTTTTGGCATCCATGGCATCCTTGAATTGCTCCTGTCTAGCTTTGCTGGGGAGCAGAGATTTGTAATGTTGCCAGTGTGCATCGCTCTTGATTGTTGTGCAAGGAGCCACATTGTGCACGCTGACACGAAACGGCTGGCCACCACCCCTTCTTTTTTCTCTCCTTCAATTTTTATTTCCTTCAATTCCCTTCATGCTCTACCCCACTATCTGAGTCAATTGGGATGATGCTCGCAATGCTGGGGATGCTGTTCAGTCATTCGTTTCCTTCGATTCCGCTCATTTCCCCTCATGCCTGCTCCTTTCCTGAACCCATCACTTGCATCAATTGGGATGATGCCGGTAATGCTGGGGATGCTTTCCAGTACCGGCCCCCACACTCGTTCTTTGCCTCAAATCGTCAAATATCGCCTCAACAGATCGGGACTGCGCAGCGCACAACGTATGCACGGGGGGAAGACAAGGTTGGGGAGACTAATGTCAAAGGTTCGTGTTAGAGGTGAGCGATAGAGTTAGAGGTTAGAGCTAGAGGTTAAGGTTAAAGGTTAGGGTTAGGTTAGGGTTACAGGTTAGGGTTAGAGGTTAGGGGGGTGTAGGGGGTTTATGGGGGTTTAGGGGCTTAGAGGTTGGGGTTAGAGATTAGGATTAGGTTGCTAGGGTTGAGGGTTGGGTTAGAGGTTCGGGAGGCGAGGGTTAGTAGTTGGAGTTCGAGACGGGTAAGAGGTTAGAGCTAGAGGTAAGTTGAGCTTCACGTTGGCTTGCAACTATAGCAGCTCTTGTTTTGATCAACGTTCAGCGACATCGACACTTGGCAGCTACACTCTCCATAGACGACAGTCGCGTTGGTATACTGAAACAACCCCAAGCGACACGCTTAGGCACTCTCTGAGGCAATAATATATATATTTATGTATATATATCGGTTGAGTGTGGGCTCGTGGTTTCTGCTTTCAAAGTGTTCGAAGATATCATAGCTTTTCGCCAGTTGGCTCAGCAAGCTCCAGGGCCCTTAAGTGGTCCTGAGGCTTTGGACTCTGCCTTTGCTGCCGGCTGGAGGCCCTGCTAGAGTTATTCTCAGTGAAGCTTATCTTGGCTGCTGTCCACGTCCTTTTCTGCATGCAAGTTTTCCGGGTAACATGCTGGATTGAAGCTAAACGCTGTGTCCAGCGTTTTGGATGCACGTTGAGACGAACATAAGGGCTGTCTTGCAAGGGACAGAGACCTTTGGTTGAAGATGCACATGAATAGACCTTCACCAGGCTTCCTTCGCCCCCCAGTAAATAAGCCTGAGAGCGAGAGAGAAGGAGAGTGCCAGGTTCTGGGGATGGAAACGATTCTGAATGTCGGCAGGCGTCGTGGCAAAGTGTCTTTGTACCTGCTCGAGTTAGATTGCCCAAATTGGCCTGCTCTTTGGCACTGAGCTTGTGATGCTGTCAGGGGGCTGCTGCAATACCAGACTCTCTGTGTCAGCCTTGGCCAACACATTGAACCGTCCCAGCTTCCGCTGTCTCGGACTGTGCCTTGGAAGTTAGGCCACCGAGTTCCCAACCTCTGTTCATCGTCCTGGCCAGCGCCAGCACCTTAAGGTCGATGTTTATGCGCTTCTGCTGCTTGAAACTGAGGACGGAGTTTGGGACGTGCTGGAAGATCAGCTCGTTGTAGACCTCGTCTGGGACCTGCTCGGCTCTGTGCAGGTGCTATTGCAGTCATGCGAAGTGTTGATCATGTTGCCCTCGCGACATGACTGACGCCAGGGCACTGAACAAGGAAGCGCATCCAACCAAACATCATACGAACATCGTATATAGCAGCGGAGGCTTTATCAACATGACACGTGATTGCAGCGCTGCTCCAGCTAGAAGGAGGCCCAGGAAAGTGGCACAGGTTCAACGGATGCAGCTTCTGCAAGAAAATGGGCGAACATTGCAACAGACAGGTACACACGCAACAGTATTGACGTGTTGTCATACAACACAGATACATCATAAAGTATGTAACATCCAGTACAAGAGGGCGTGGATATACGCGACACACACACACATATATAATATATATATATACACAAACGAAACATACCATACTACGATAAAACATATAGTTTGCAGGACATGATATGCAACACGACACGACTACTGCAGACAGAGCAACCAATGAAACACTGTTGAACGAGTACACTTGTCAAAGAACCACTTGGGCTTTAGACATTGCTGCGGCGAAGGCAAGATCTGACCCAGTTTTACTAAACTTCACACCGCTACTCGTTGACCACTGCATCGCTGTTACCCATTCTTGGTATAGGATAATGTAGGCTTCGTCAACGATTTCATCGAACACCTATGCATGTGGCAATAGCTGCATCGTCAAGTCGATGCTGCTGGGACTCAATGTGTCATGGCATCTGACCGAATTTGGCATGACACACATGCACACACACACACACACACACACATGTGGGGTGTGATTCTGCATATATTTGCGTGCACAAATCTATCGACCCAGGAATGCACCACAAACATGAGGCTTGCAAAATGCTAGACCTGCATGCAGATCGTTGAAGAGTTCAAACTTGCTGAAAGGACCCACGTCGTGGGATGGCTGGTGTGCTGCAAGACGCAGCCCAACTGGTGGTCCAGGCAGCCGTCTTAGCATGTTCTGCAATTGAGCAAGCCACATTTCTCCGAGGGTTATGCACTTTCTTCAGCACTGACAGAGGCTGCCAAAGATCGCGGCTCGACGGATAACTTGACTTGCTTGATTCTGTTATTGTCGTCATAATGCAGTATATGTATATATATTTTTTGGCTGTGAATGACGCAAGTTGTGATTTGTTCAGACCTGACATGTATTACTTGTTTTCTCCAGCCTGAAGGGCTTGATCTCAGCCTTATGCATCTGAATGGAGATTAGTAATGTTGGACCTGCTTTAATATGATCCCCCCCCTGAACAATGGAACCAGTCAGCGGGACCCTGTTTAGGCAAACCCTGGGGGTCTGGGTGGGACTTTCAAAGTGATTTAGTATTGGTAGACTTGAGTTTCCATTTGATTTAGTATTGCTGGAGCTTCCTTTTGAGATTTTGGAACTGAGTTTCCATTTGATTTAGTATTGCTGGAGCTTCCTTTTGAGATTGGGAACTGAGTTTCAAATTGATTTAGTATTGGTAGAGCTTCCTTTTGAGATTTGCTCCCAAAACCAGTTGAACACTAAAGAGGACCCCAAAACAATCACACTAAAGAGGATCAGGGTTGGTTGTGGGCACCCATGCGTAGCTGCACACGCGCGTGTGCGAGCACATGCGCGGACACGCTTATGCCAAACGGCCCCAGTAGATATAGCTCTGGTCGGTAGACTGAGGGGGTAGCCGCCCGGCATCACCAGTGTTGTAGCGAAGGAAGTCCGTAGACCTTTACAGGCTCGGCGTGGCTCGGTTTGACAGTCTTTGTTGACTAGAGTAGTCGACGCCCCGAGCATCGCCAGCGGTTCAGTAAATAATATGCTTTTCCTCTTGCTAGATGTGGACTAAATTGGTCGACGCCGCTAGCTGTACAAGTGCCTTGGAACCCTTTCCGAAGACAAACAAGTTGCGCGCCTGGACGATCCAGAGTCCGCACGTGCGCCTTAGGAGACAGGGACGGGTCTGCGTTTTAAATTCTTTGCCAAATCGAGGGAAGAGCGCGCGCCCAGGGGAATTACACAGGAGTGGCACGGAGCAAGCTGTATGTATATTTACTTAGTTATGTTGTTGAAACAAAATTTATATATTATATGTATTTGTTTAATTTATTTTGTGTTTGTTTATTTTTCTTGCTTATTCTTTTTCTATATTAGTATACGGAGAGTTGTGATACATTCGATATAGTATATATACATACATATATATATATACACAGACCATGTCGAAGATGATTCGGTATGTATGTATGTATGTATATATGTATATATGTATCATCCCTTGTAATGAATGAATTCCGATGATGTCGGTGGGATGACCTTGGCCCTTTGTCATTTCATGAGTCATGGGCGGTCATGAGTCATGGCTGGACATGACACACATGGGTGTGGCGACGGCAGGGTGCTAAGAGTCATTGGCAATGTTGAGCGATACCGACACGATCCTCATTTGTCCAAGTCATAACTTGTTGCTTCCTGTAATTACGTGCGCTCGTTTGTTTTTGCAGCCGGCTCACATTTTTTCTGGGTACCTCTTCTCATTTGCTGAGAGCCACAGATGGATGGTGTAGCTGGATAGATAGATAGATAAATAGAGAAATCGATATGTAAACATAACATAAAGAAAGAACGAAGAAAAGAAAGCCAAGCAAGAACGAAAGAAGAAGGGAAAAACAAAAGAAGGAAATACATATGAAAAAAAGAGACACAATAGAAGAAGAAGGGCAAAAGAAAGAGGAAGAGACGGACAACTATACTCCTTATGTTTTTGAAAGTTCCCACCGGCTTCGCTGGTTCTACTGCTACTACTACCACTACTAATCCTACTACTATTGCTGCTGCTACTGCTACTACTGCGCTGCTACTACCGCTGCTGCTGCTACTACTACTGCACTACTACTACTACCACCACCACCACCACGACCTACTACTACTACTACTACTACTACTACTACTTCTACTAGGCTACTCCTACTACTACTACTACTACTACTACTACTACTACTACTACTCCCTCAGCTCAGCCCTTATTCATCCATGCAAAACGCAGTACATAACTATTTTGACATGGTAGAGAGTGGGCTGGGCCAGCCATGTTTGATGAGTCCGCAGAACAAATACGATTGATACGAAGCAATGTCCACGGTATGGTTAGAACCTTTCGATCTGTATTTCTAGATTTTCTAAGCCGAGCCGGACTGTTCTGAACACGTTCCGGGATTTGGGTTTCAAAAGCGGGTGTTTCTTTTTTTGGGTGAGCCGATGCGAAGAGCTGACGAGATATCATTGGTTGTTCCCGGAATTGTCAAGTCCCGGTCATGGTCAGTTGATTTTCATAGGGAGTTTGACTTTTCCAGAACAGCATTGTTGCCGACGGTGTGTGTGTGTGTCCATGACTCACGACCGCTGGCCATGAAAACCATCAATGAGTCAGCAAACCACGGATGGACCATTAATAACCATTATTCATCATCGGTCAACCATCAATAGATCACCATTAACCATTACAAGCTATTGCTGTATGTAAGCGATAGAGATTCCGTTCAGATGAGATATCCATGACCATCAACCTCTCGTTTTATGTGGAACGTGTCAGCGGTTCAAACTGATTCAAAGACCCATCCTGACCAAGCCAAGCAGATAGACAAGTTCTGCAGTGTATGTATGTGCGTGTGTGGTTTTGGGCTGTTCACATATCTAGTCACCACAAGGTCCCCTGCGCCCCCGCTTGTAGGCGTCAGGGCCCTTTTCTGGCCGGGATTCGGGCAACCGCTGCCAAATGAAGGGCCCACACACCAAACAGAATGTGTGTTTTGATATGCGGGCGGGGGAGCGTGATACCTTTCATCCTAGTTGGCTTATGAATCCAGCCAACTGATGACGGTATATCTTGGATAAGTCATTGCTTCGTTTTTGAGGTAAATGGTAGTGGTAGAAATGAGTATAAATGGAGCCATCAACACAGGACAACTTTTTGCGAGTCGACCTTTGGCATGTGAATGTACAAAGTGAACAACACTTCTACTGACAAGCGGTTGCCGGATACGGACATATCCACACAATCACACACAGCGATCGGAATACCCAAGTTGTCAAACAAATGTTTGCGTCCAATGATGCGTTGCAAATTGTGGTGTTTCACAAACAAGTGAATGTGGACAGAGCCATCACACCGGACACATCATGAAACACTGCGCCAGCCGTTCAAGGCCCGAGCCACATTGTCATTTGTAGCTCAGATTGTCGCAAGCATGCGCGCAACTTCAGAGAAGCTCACATGGATGAGTCGCTAAGCTGACACGTGTTGGAAGTTTTGCTACCTACGTCGGAACTTATTTTTTGCTTGAAATGCAATATCCAGCTGCTGACTTCCTGGGATGGTATTCGCTCAATGGGTTGCGCTGTTCAGCGGCCCGTCTGCAATTTGTGTGTTTGCCACATGAAGCAACATTTAGTGGGATCGGTGCCGGGAGCAAGGCAACTTTGTCACTGCGGATCAGCTCGGTGCTGAGTTGGAGCATTTTGATTGCATAGTTGTTTGATGTCCATACGTGTTTGCTGAATATGGGTTTTGAGTGGTCATTCTCTGAGAGGACGAACCACGTGCCCCATTTGACCACGCAATCTGTACACTTCACCGCTAGGCCACTGTCTAATATTGTATACAACTTTCGACGGCATGCTGTAGACATTCGAGCCTTGCAGCAATTCAATGTGTGCAATCTCTCGTGCAATCTGTGTGCGGCACCTGACATCTTTTTGCTGCCGGTTCTTTGAGCACTGAATGTTATAGAGTTTCAAAATGACGGTCTCCAGCTGCGCGGTCAGGATGGAGAGATGGCAGTCTAAATGGGATACGTACCGGGGAGATCCAGCCGATGGATTCTGTGAAGCAGCAGACATTCGAAGGACACGTGCCTCCTCAATTGTTGGGTAACAGTTCTCTAGTGAGCTTGATAGACACACATGTTTGGGCAAGATACCGAATGAGCATCCTTGCTCAGGTGATTTCGGTTCATCGGCAAGGGGAGACCTTTACCCTAGCTAGATTTGCCATGACGGCGGCACAAGCCGTCTATGCCGAAGCTCGTTTGCAGAGGGAGGAGATAGTTGAGGGTTGTTCCAGAGAGTGAACGTTCTGCACTCCAGTCCTCACTCTCCTCACTTGTACTTTCCATGCTGGGGCAGCTGTGTCCATGAACCTATCTTCCATTTCAATTGCGCATTCATGAGATCATTCATGCTAGTGCCATGGACAGCCAACGATTCAGTTCTTTTCAACACTGCCTGTCATGCAGGCAGCTCTGTTTGAGCGGGCAACCCCGGAATTGGGCAGAAAGAAGCTTCCAGTTCGCAGTTACACGATCACTCCCTGGTAGGTGTGCTAGCCATGTGGACAGGCTGCCAGCCCAGTGAATTGCCCCCCAACCTGTCGAACACGGCCGAGCCCCCAGCAATGGCTCACTAAGCTGAGCTGCGCAGCGCTCACCAGTACCTTGCTCGGCCATGCATGCACTTCAAAATGAATGCAGAGTGTGATGCGCAAACCTCTCCAGTGCTGACTATGAAAATGATACTTAGCTCAATCAATGTTTTGGCGGACCTTGTTTAAAGTATTGGATTTGTCATAAACAAAGTGCCGCCCCCTTGATGGACTCATCAACATGTTTGGCATGAGAGTATCAGTTCGTTGTTGTGATTGCTAGTGGCGTCGTCTTCAAAGGCACGGCCAAACACTGCCAGCAAAAAGCTTTTGCTGAGCGTTCAGATGCAGAGAACTCAAGCAAACCAAGGTTTTACCAGAAGTACGAGATAAGGAGGTCCTTGGCTTTGCAACTGGATGTACCCAGCAGCTTCACGTTGAGGCGTTCCAGACTTCGCTTGTCAAGTTGTGGTAGTGAAGCTCATCTAACGGCCTTTAGGGCTTGCAGGGCGTGCAGCTCAGGCTTTTCGACATCCGCTGTACTTGAAGTACATGAAGGACTCGTCAATCGCCCGTTCTGCTATGCACTGTACGCATTGCGGAGCAAGTCAGGAATTGGAAAGGCCACAACTGCGCGCCACGTTGGCCAGTGCTGGGCTAGCGGAGGCTGCTGTGTGGCTCGGACACACGTGGCGCCCATCCCAAATCTTTGTCAAGGCATGCTTGTTGTGAACGTAAGCGCAGCGCCTTTCACAAAGTGTGCCCGTTGAAAGGCAGAGCAGCAAGCAGTGCCGCAACGTAGGCTTGATGAGACGGTTTCTGCAAGCCCGCCTGGCTTTAGCACCTTGCTTAAAGGAATGATTAAGAATGCTTTACTTTGCGTGTGGCAGCGAGCCCTCAGAATGGTGCATTGCATGAAGTAATCATGTCATGTTTGCAAGGTGCAAAATTTCACAACTTCCAGAACTTCCCAGTAGAAGTATATTGGGACGATGGCTCGGAGCACGGAGTGCTTCAGGAGAACATCTCTGCGATGAGTTCTGGCGAGGGACACACAACTTTCGAAGGCCACACATTCGAGTTTCCCAGCGGCACTTGGTGACACTGTGGTCGCCAAAGCGTCTTTCAGCCAATCCTAGGTTCAAGCGGCGGAAAGAAGGAGAGCAAAGACGAGAAAGTACTCTCAAATGTTCATTAGAGCTACAGCGAGGAAGGAAAGGATGAGTTTGTCGGCTTACGCCACAGCCAGGAGCTCTCGAGACGGTGGAGCGCTTTACAATGCGCTACACCCTCAGCGTGTATAGCGGCAGGGTTTGGGCTCTCGCCTCGATGGGAGTCGTTCTAAAGCTCCTTGTAAGGAGTTTAGTATTCGGCGACCATCGGTGTTGGTTGAGGTAGCTCCGCGAAAGATTCGCGATGGAGTTGCGAAAGTAACTTTTCAGTGATATGTGAAAACACATCTTTTCTGCTGAATCTTCCTTCTAAGCTGGTTAAAGCCTTTGCTTGTTTGTCCCCCAATAAAGCCTTGTGACGCTACAGTTCTAAAACCCTGCTTCTCTGGTTACTGCTTTAGGTGCGCGGGCGTTAGTCGGTGGCTTGAGAAACGTGGGTGATGTTTCGCGAAAGGTCCGCGAAAGTTCCGCGAAAGGCCGCGTGAAAGCGCAGGCTTCGATTGCGAGGGGAGGTACTTCTGAGCGCCGCGCTAGTCAGAGTACTAGCTTGGCCCTGAAAAGTTGCGACTTCAAGCTGGAGCTGCGCGGCTTTCCGACCTGCTGGAACTGCGGAAGTGCATTTCGTCTACTGGTGCTGAAAGTTGCGACTTTCCAGCCGGAGCTGCGGAAGTGCATGTCATGTTCTACCCTTGTCATCAAAAAATGCGACTTCATTCCGCGCACTAAACTGGTACTTAAAAGCTGCGACTTTCTGACTTGAGCAATGAAAAGTGCACGGCGATGAATCCGCGAAAGATTCGCAAAAGTAACTTTTTTATTTGCGAAGAATGGCCGCTTCGAGACAAAGGATTTTTTAGAACAACCACCTGTATTATTACATAAGCGTTTTAAGCGTACAATATATATATATATTTTTAAGGGCTGCCGCCCACAAACCAGTTTGGGAATGGCTGAAATGAACGGGGCCGCTTCAAAATTAACGATACTCCGAAACCTGGGAACAAAACATGAAAAAAACGCTACGGGACGTCCTAATGTCGGACACCCCAAAGAAGTACTTTTGACGCTGGTTCATGTAGCCAGGGTGCGGTGCATTTTTGCTTTGCTTTCGCGTGAAAATGCACCGCTTCTATGCTGATGATGATGCTGATGATGCTGAACTGACATGATAATCATCATGACGCATCCTCAGCATCACCAGCAGGCATCAATAATCATGTCCACGCATCTTCTGCATCTCAAATCGGCCCTAACGGGACTGATGATGATGATCATGATGTGGTCATCATCATCATCATCGTCATCATCGTCATCATCATCAGCATCATCCTCGTCATCGTCATCGTCATCATCACCGTTGTCATCATCGATGATAACCATCATCGTGCATCCTCTGCATCACCAACAGTCAGGAGGAAATCATGTCTACGCATCCTCTGCATCTCCAATCAGGTTAGAGCCGATTGGAGATGCAGCGGGTGCGTAGTCATGGTTATCATCATGACTGTTGGTGATGCAGAGGATGCACGATGATGGTTATCGCCCATGATGACAACGGTGATGATGACGGTGATGACGATGATGATGATGATGATGGTGACGATAATGACCACCATCATTGATGACATCTTCATCATCATCACATCATCGTTGTGACCTGATTGGAGATGCAGAGGATGCGTAGACATGATTTCCTCCTGGCTGTTGGTGATGCAGAGGATGCACGATGATGGTTATCATCGATGATGACAACGGTGATGATGACGATGACGATGACGAGGAGATGACGATGATGATGATGATGATGATGACACGCTTGTCATATCACATCATAATCGTTGTCGTCCTTATCTTTTTTATATACGTTTCAAAGGTGGCGTTAGAGCCGATTGGAGATGCAGCGGGTGCGTAGTCATGATTATCATCATGACTGTTGGTGACGCAGAGGATGCACGATGATGGTTATCGTCCATGATGACAACGGTGATGATGACGGTGATGACGATAATGTTGATGATGATGATGACGATAATGACCACCATCCCGGTGATGATGACATGCTCATCATCATCACATCATCGTTGTGACCTGATTGGAGATGCAGAGGATGCGTAGACATGATTTCCTCCTGACTGTTGGTGATGCAGAGGATGCACGATGATGGTTATCATCGATGATGACAACGGTGATGATGACGATGACGATGACGAGGAGATGACGATGATGATGATGATGATGACACGCTTGTCATTATATCACATCATAATCGTTGTCGTCCTTATCTTATTCATATACGTTTCAAAGGTAGCTTTAGAGCCGATTGATCGTTGTGACCTGATTGGAGATGTAGAGGATGCGTAGACATGATTTTCATGATGACTGCTGGTGATGCAGAGGATGCACGATGATAGTTATCGTCGATAATGACAACGGTGATGATGACGATGACGATGACGAGGATGATGCTGATGATGACGCGACGATGATGATGATGATGACACGCTTTGTCGTCCTTATCTTTTTGTATATACGTTTCAAAGGTGGCGTTAGAGCCGATTGGAGATGCAGCGGTTGCGTAGTCATGATTATCATCATGACTGTTGGTGACGCAGAGGATGCACGATGATGGTTATCGTCCATGATGACAACGGTGATGATGACGGTGATGACGATGATGATGATATGACGATAATGACCACCATCTCATCATCATCACATCATCGTTGTGACCTGATTGGAGATGCAGAGGATGCGTAGACATGATTTCCTCCTGACTGTTGGTGATGCAGAGGATGCAAGATGATGGTTATCATCGGTGATGACAACGGTGATGATGACGATGACGATGACGAGGAGATGACGATGATGATGATGATGATGATGATACGCTTGTCATTATATCACATCATAATCGTTGTCGTCCTTATCTTTTTTACATACGTTTCAAAGGTAGCTTTAGAGCCGATTGGAGATGCAGAGGGTGCGGAGTCATGATTATCATCATCACCGTTGTCATCATGGACGATAACCATCATCGTGCATCCTCTGCATCACCAACAGTCATGATGATAATCATGACGCACCCGCTGCATCTCCAATCGGCTCTAACGCCACCTTTGAAACGTGTATAAAAATTACCCCGGCACGAGACCCCAAACAGTGATAGGCGGCGGTCACACGCTGCAGAGTGTTGCGCGGGCTGCGCCGCAAAACGGCGGTTGTTGTCAGGAAGCTGCAACATCATTTTGCGGTATTTGCGCGCACATTCACAAAGACAAGGACACGGCCTGGAACAGGCACGCGCAAGAGAATGCAGCAGACACGTGTCGAAGCCAGCGCCATGGTCGTGTGTGCGTGTGTTTGGCGTGTGTGTGTGTGTGTAAGCATCACTACAAAAGGCAAGATCTGTGTGTTTGTTTCACCAGGGTGCCTGAGTTAGTGAGTTAGCTAGCTAGGTAGCTTCTTCCTTTGTTCTCGATTGTGGCGCTGTTGCTGTTGCTGTTTTTGGGTGTTGTTGTTCAGAGTACCATCGAGACGCCGTCGCAGCACAGAAGCACCATCCAAGCATGCGCAAGGAAAGGGAAACAAGCTCGCGCGGACAGGGCGGGAATCGAGCCCGGGACCTTTCGCCGGAAACCCGTGCCGCCGGACCACGAGACAAAACCCCCACGGTCCCCGGAGCCGCCAAAAAAGCAAAACATCGAGTTTGTGCGAGCCTGCGCAGTCGAAACACACTTCAACATCAAGCAAGAGCAAGAATCTGCGGTAAATACCACGCGAAACGCTCGCGGACAGAAGTCGACACCTCACTTTGTGCGAGCCTGCGCAATCGAAACGCACTTCAACATCAAGCAAGAGCACGGATCTGCGGTAAATACCACGCAAAACGCTCGCGGACAGAAGTCGCCAACTCACTTTGTGTGAGCCTGCGCAGTCAAAACGCACTTCGACATCAAGCAAGAGCACGAATCTGCGGTAAATACCACGCAAAACGCTCGCGGACAGAAGTCGCCAACTCACTTTGTGCGAGCCTGCGCAGTCAAAACGCACTTCGACATCAAGCAAGAGCACGAATCTGCGGTAAATACCACGCAAAACGCTCGCGGACAGAGCGGGCACCTCAATCTGGCACCAAGGCCTTTTCTCTTACCGTAAGAACCCCTTAGTGTAGACACACTGTTTGCCAACAGTCATGATGATAATCATGACTACGCACCCGCTGCATCTCCAATCGGCTCTAACGCTACCTTTGAAACGTATATAAAGAAGATAAGGACGACAACGATTATGATGTGATATAATGACAAGCGTGTCATCATCATCATCATCGTCGTCATCATCAGCATCATCATCGTCATCATCACCGTTGTCATCATCGATGATAACCATCATCGTTCATCCTTTGCATCACCAACAGTCATGATGATAATCATGTCTACGCATTCTCTGCATCTCCAATCAGGTCACAACGATGATGATGTGATGATGATGAGCATGCATCATGCACGATAACCATCATCGTGCATCCTCTGCATCACCAACAGTCATGGTGAAAAAGATGAGGACGACAACGATTATGATGTGGTATAATGACAAGCGTGTCATCATCATCATCATCGTCGTCATCATCAGCATCATCCTCGTCATCGTCATCGTCATCATCACCGTTGTCATCATCGATGATAACCATCATCGTGCATCCTCTGCATCACCAGCAGTCATCATGATAATCATGTCTACGCATCCTCTACATCTCCAATCAGGTCACAGCGATCAATCGGCTCTAACGCTACCTTTGAAACGTAAATAAAAAAGATAGGTAGACAACGATTATGATGTGATATGACAAGCGTGTCATCATCATCATCATCATCGTCATCTCCTCGTCATCGTCATCGTCATCATCACCGTTGTCATCATCGATGACAACCATCATCGTGCATCCTCTGCATCACCAACAGTCAGGAGGAAATCATGTCTACGCATCCTCTGCATCTCCAACCAGGTCACAACGATGATGTGATGAGAAGCATGTCATCATCACCAGGATGGTGGTCATTATCGTCATCCTCGTCATCATCATTATCGTCATCACCGTCATCATCACCGT